TGCTAAGGTTTAGGTGCCAACTGGAATTTGGGCACTCCTTATAGATATCTTATTGACCTAGAAAGAAATGTTTGATTGCTCAGGAAATCCTATAAAGCGATTATTTAAAGCCTAATATTTTCCTGCCAGGAATGGCCCAATGTGCTGTCAGCAAAGGAAACCAATCACTTTGCTTTCTAATTTAAGTGACTGAGCCAAAGGATGAGGAAAGGTCAAATAAGAGATAGCTTAGAGCAGACATGTCAAACTCGCAACGTCACATGACCTCGCGCAACGTATCGGACCGGTTTTGCCATTGCCAGAAATGGGATGGGCACGGCTTCCAGATGACGCGTCCGGCCCGCGAGCCGACAGTTTGACACCCTTGGCTTAGAGATAATGGATGGGGTAAGAGGCTCAGAAGGGACCCTCCCTCGTTCGTAAAAGAGATGGGAGAGAATTGTGCTTTCAGACTTGCAAGACGGATGTCAACCTCATGAGATTGATCAGATAGGAATTAAAACCAGCTGAGCTTATTCTACTCCATTGTAAAGCTACATTGACAGAATTTTGCAAGTCTGAGAGTACAATTCCACCCCTCTCCAACTAGGGAAGGGTACCTTGTGAGCTTCTCGCCCCACCTTCTCTCTCTCTCGGGGCTATGCTGCCTCTTATCTGGCCCATTCTGTTAGCACCTTCTTTGTGCCCGATCTCCCAAGGTCTTTCCCTCACACCATTACTGTAAGGCAGTGTTTCCCAAACTTGACAATTTTAAGGCATGTGGACTTCAACTCCCAGAATTCCATAGCCAGTGTTGCTGGCTGTGGAATTCTGGGAGTTGAAGTCCTCATGCCTTAAAATTGTCAAGTTTGGGAAACACTGCTGTAAGGCATATTGATCCAGTTGGGCTTCCAGATCTTGGACAGGTGGCCTATGTGCAATGAAGGCTCAGTCATAGTCCATCATTACAAATGCCTCCCTAGAAAAACCATAATAATGCAGTTTTTGCAGAATTGTCCTATTCCATGTTGAACAACCCAGACCTTCTGCAAAGATATAGCTTCAACCAATGTGCAGAGTACACATGTATTTCCCATTTCAATTCTAGAATGTCATTAATGGGCTCTAGCACTGGGTACAATAACAGGTCCTCATAATATAAGGCCTTCAAGGTGCCTTGAAACCAGATGCCTCATCAGCATCTCGACTCATCAAGCCAAACCTGATTCTCTAGCACACAATCCGCTCTCAAAGGTGTTCCAGGAAACCCTCTTTTGTCTGACATTCCATTAAAGCATGAAAACGAGGTTGATGGATAGCATACTGTTTAGTGGACTATATATCTCACAGCTGGGGCAGATCACAAGAGGTGCAATGAATCATGCTTAGCCTTCATAAACATGGTTTCTTCCTGCTAAGAAAGACAGTTATCACCGCCAGATCCGAGAGAGAACTTTACCCAAGCCAACCATATCGTTTGTTGACACCAGCTGTTTTGGACACCTAACATGTTCCTGAATGCTGATGTTGCTTTTAGCATTGCTAGAAAACTATGAATCACTCTTCATAGGAAAAAGCTGAATTACTGGGAACTGGGAAATTGTTAGGACAGCCAGTTTATCTTAAATGTCACATTCCTTGCCGAGAGAACGGTCCCCTGATCTTGGTAGGCCTCCGCAGAGAAAGATTTTAGTATTTATATTTATTTTACTATTATTTTTCACCTATTTTTGTAAAATAATACATTCTGAGTTGTTGTTGTTTTTTTAGTTGCCTTGAGCGCTCACCCAACCAGAAAGATGGGATATAAATCAAATAACCATAGCTGTGTTTTCTGTTACCCGGTCTTTTTCTACCTCAGTGACTGTGCAGGCTACAGATTATATGAAAGGTGAAGGGTAATAAATTGGAATAGTTTAGATCCTCCATTTCAAAAAATTCCTTCCCCGTGAACTTGTTTTGAGGGTAGGATCAGTGGTGGGATTCAAATATGTGAACAACCAGTTCTCTGTGTAGATGCCGCTTCTGGAAGTCCATTCTGGACCTGGGCAACACAAAATTAGCTACCGGTTCTGCCGAAGTGGTGCAAACTAGCTGAATCCCACCACTGGTTCGGATGTATAATTTGCAATTGCAATTTAATGAATTCCGGGAATGGCATGCAATGTCACCCTGATTTCTACACACTTTACATTCATCTTCGCTGCTTTCAGACTTTTTCGTCTGGATGATAATGTAGCTTAATGCCTCTGAGATGAAAAGTAAATGCTGTAAATGCATGAATGGTGTACAATTGGTTTTCTTCCTAATGTAACTAGCGCACAACCTTGGCAATTTTAAGTTGCATGGATGTCAATCTCCCAGAATTCCCCAGCTGGCCATTGCCGGCTGAAGGATTCTGGAAGTTGGAAGTCCACACATCTTAAAAATGGCTGAGGTTGAGATACACTGCCATAATACCCTCTTTCAAGGGGCCCTCCTTGACAAATGAGCAGATTTTAGACAAAGCAACAATTTGGCAGGGCGTGATCTGTAAGGCACAATCTCTGAAGCATGATACCAACACAAGCCTGTTACGCAGCCCGTGTTTTCCAATGAAATTCCTGCCAAATTAGCGCCCCACATGATCTAACTAGGGATAGTGTTTGCTGTGTCACCTTCTCCTCTCTCTCAACTTTGTATTCAGTATTTCTTACAACCTGCATCTTAATTTTGCTCCTCCGTCCCAGTGATTTGGGAAAATGGGAATCCTTTTTTCAGTTTTGCACAGCCTGTGAACCATTGCCCGAAATGGGCTTTGCAATAAATTAAATGACATTTTAAAACTCCTGGAAAATCTCTCCCTCTCCCCCACTCTCTCTCTCTCTCTCTCCCTCCCTCTCCTTCTCCCTCTCTCCGTCTCTCTCCCTCCCTCTCTCCATCTCTCCCTTCCTCTCCCTCTGTGCCTTTCCCTCCCTCTCACTCTCCTTCTGTCTCTCTCTGTTTTGTCTCTCTCCCCCTTCCCTCTCTCCATTTTGCTCTGTCTTCCTCTCTTTGTCTCTCTTCCTCGTCTCCCTCTCTCTGTCTTGTCTCTCTCTCTCACCCCCTCTCCCTCTCTCTGTCTCTCTCCCTCCCTCTCTGTCTTTCCCTCCCTCTCCTTCTGTCTCTCTCTGCCTCTCCAGTTTCACTCTGTCTTCCTCTCTCCCCCCCCTCTGCCTGTCTCCCTCTCCCATACTCATCCAGTTCCAACTTGAATAGGGGGTATCTCCTAAACAGGAATCCCTTGAATTCATGCTTCCAATAACCAACTCTTCATTTCAAAATGTCTTCATTTCTCTGATCTAAATCGGAGAAAACTGTCTGATTCACTTTTTTTTTTAACCCACCAGTCCTTTGCTGTTGAGATTGCTCAGAAGCCCATGGCTTGCTTTTATCAGGTGTTCACACATTGGCTTCCCATTTTTCTGCTGAGGAGTGCTGCAAGTTATCAGGAGGGTTCTGAACCAATTAAGAGGTTTTTACATTTCAAATCTCCTGATAGTGTCACTTCCCCCGAATCATTCAGAGATGTAAAAATTCAATATTGTAGGATCTTAATATACTGTTCGGAGGTTCTAGTGCACAAACAACCTGCGGTGCAGAGTCTCTTTCCTCCATGCTCTGCCTATAGAGAAGGGATCATAGGTCATGTGGCTCAGGATAATAGGCATTGCAATCCCTTATATCTGGGTGATGTTGGGTATGATTCATGTAGACCAGGGGTTCCAACCTTGGCTTCTCTAAGATGGGTGGACTTAAATTCTCCAGCCAGGCTGGGGAATTCTGGGAGCTGAAGTCCACAGATCTTAAAGTTGTCGAGGATGGGCACCTCTAGGAACAACGAGAAAGGCCAACTCTATGTTAGGAAATGAGAGCAGAGCAGCAGTTGCTTCCATCTATGAGAGGATTGATCAGTACTTGGTATCTTCTAAAGCAGGGGTCTTCAAACTTGGCCCTTTTATGACTTGTGGACTTCAACTCCCAGAATTCCTCAGCCAGGCACGCCTGGCTGAGGAATTCTGGGATTCAAAGTCCACAAGTCATAAAAGGGCCAAGTTTGAAGACCCCTGTTCTAAAGTCTATTTTCTCCAGGGAGGCAACTGGTAGATTGATAGTGATGCTTTGTGTTGAAGAATTGGCCCATTATTTCATTTCTGAATTGGCTAAAACTCCCATGTTTTAACGTCATCAAAGTTGACCCAACAGGATGGATTATTGTGGAAATTATAAAGAAGACATATATGTCCCCTAAAAAAGGTTTTCAGACCCCAGTTTTCTGGGTAACCTCCAGCATTTTTTTCTAAGTTGTGGATTCAGGACACCCATTTATCTGATCATTTCTGCCTTTCACACAAAGTTCTTTTCTTGTATCTCCCTGTGCACCTGATTCCACGCACCATTGCCATCTGAGTATGCTAGCGGATTGATCTGCTCTCTGTCATTTTGGAAACTGTACAAACTCCTATAATACAGATATCCTCAAATGCAAATGCAATCACGTGGCCCCAGGACACTGCAGCCGTCACAAATACATGGCCAGTCGCCAAGCACCTGAATTTATTTATTTATTTATTTATTTATTTATTTATTTATTTATTTATGAGACTTATATACCGCTTTAAGTGCAAGCACTCTCTAAGCGGTGTACACCAGTAAGCAATGTATATATATATTTACATTGCCCCCAACAATCTGGGTCCTCATTTTACCTACCCCGGAAGGATGGAAGGCTGATTTCCATCACGTGACTCGCAGTGCTGCTTCGATGGTCATAAGTGTGAGGACGAAGTCCTCAGTTGCATTTTTAGTGCTGTTGTAACTTCAAACAGCCACTAAACAAATGGTTGTAAGGCAAGGACGCCCTGTGCTCTGTATGCATTAAGAAAGCAGTCTCGGAATGAATTTCCAATAGCCATTTTTGCAGCCACACACTTACCTGTGCATCGCTCAGTGGAAAGTCAGCTAAAGTTCCATTCAAATTGTGTGGGTTTCTGTCCTTGCAGGAGGCCTCCGGGGTGCCACCGTGGTGGACGCTTTGGATACCCTGTACGTCATGGAGCTGCAGGAGGAGTTCCAGGAAGCCAAAGATTGGGTGGAGCAGAGCTTTGATTTGAATGTGGTGAGTCAGCCTTTGAATAGGTTTCTCTGTTCTGCAGACACCCCCTGGTGTATTTTGAACCTGGATGTTTTGACTGGTCCTCCGCCCTCCACTTGGCACAGTGTAAAACAAGCCGAGAATAGGACAGCGTATAGTTGAGTTGGGAGGTAATAGAGCAGTGATGGTGAACCTTTTAGAGACCGAGTGCCCAAAAACTGCCCCTGCCCACACTCCCCTGCCCCACCCCGCTCTGCCCCCATCCCCCGCCCTGCCTGCCCACAGGACCACTCACCACCTCCAGGGCCTGCCGCAGATCGCCCAGGGAGCCCAGCAGTGCTATGGCGGCCACACCCTCTGCCCATGCCCTGCAGCATCAACTGCATGATGGGGTGTGAGGGCAGAGTCTTGTCTACACTGCCTGGCTGCCATGTCCTTGGCTGCGCTGCTCCGTGTGGGCCACGCTCGGGGGCGACTATACTTCAGGGGGGCTGCTGGAGAGGAGGGGGTCACGGGGAGGCAAGGCTGGGGCAACGGCCCGTGTGCCCACAGAGAGGGCTCTGAGTGCCGCCTCTGGCACCCATGCCATAGGTTCACCACCACTGTAATAGGGTAAAGGGATTAAAGCAAAAATGCCTTGATTGCCAGATCAGCTAGTAATCCAACCAGCACCTCTATCAGTATTTTTCAACATTGGCAGCTTTAAGATGGGTGGACTTCCACTCCCAGGATTCCCCAGCCAGCATGGGGAATTGTAGATCACCTCCTCCCTCTTTCCATTTTCCCTGTCTGGAATTTCTCCGGTCAAAAAACTGGATTATTTGAGAACTACGGTAAGCAGCTGTTTTGTAGAGGGGCAGCATCTTCATCACTCCACTATCTTGGCCCTTGAGCCAAAAGAGACTGACAAGCCTTAGCAGGCTTCCCTGGTTGAGGTTTTTCTTGCTGGGCCTTCTTACACCCAAAATGTCCATGCTGTTGTCTTTGACTGCTTTCTGGTGCAAAGGAGAAGTAGCAAACCCTTTATAGGTGACCCTGCAGGTAAGCATCCCATTTCTTTTAAATTTGGGGGGGCCATTACACCAACAACTATAGGCAGCATGGCTAGCAATGAAAGTTAATGAGAATTATACCCACAAACACCTGGAAGAAATTCAGTTTGGAGCAGAGTAGAATTTTTAAAGATGTTTAGAAGTTCCACAAACGGGACAGAGGTAGACCTAAGTTGTGGTACTGACCCACTGGAGTTTAGGAACATGTTGTCTCTACACTTGAAGAGAGTGTGTTTTTTTATTCATTTATTTATATCCTGCCCTAAATTATTTTTACAAATAACTCAAGGGAGTGAACATATTCCTATACAGCTTCCTTTTCCTATTTTCCCCACAATAATAATCCTGTGAGGTGGGTTGGGCTGAGAGGAAGTGACTGGCCCAAGGTCACCCATCTGGCTTTCACGGGTATGGTAGGACTTGAACTCATAGTCTCTTGCTTGCTAGCCTGGTGCCTTAACCACTAGACCAGGGGTAGGAAACCTTGGCTCCCTTCATGACTCGTGGACTTCAACTCCCAGAATTCCTGAGCCAGCATGGCTCAGCTTGGAAACCTCTCCCTTTCCCCTCAGCATGGCTGGCTCAGGAATTCTGGGAGTTGAAGTCCACGAGTCATGAAGGGGCCAAGGTTGCCTACCCCTGGATAGGGCAGGGGTAGGCAACCTTGGCCCCTTCATGACTCGTGGACTTCAACTCCCAGAATTCCTGAGCTAGCATGGGGGAACTATGGCTCCTTCATGACTCGTGGACTTCAACTCCCAGAATTCCTGAGCCAGCATGGCTCAGCTTGGAAACTCTCCCTTTCTCCTCAGCATGGCTGGCTCAAGAATTCTGGGGGTTGAAGTCCACGAGTCATAAAAGAGCCAAGGTTGCCTACCCCTGGACTAGACATTATGTTTATTGCTTTACTCCTCGTGAATTTGCTTGTGTCCATGTTGGTTCTCCCACACAGTCTTTATAATGCTTGAAATAGCCCATAAATACTTGGTTCCCTGAATCCCATCCCATGCCTTAGTTTACCCTGTTTGCTCCATCACTTTGTTTAGCCTCTCTACCATCCCTATATTATTTGAGAGTTTTGTGTTGCTGCACAGAGTGAGGTTCTTCAGGTCCTGATTTTAAAACCACTGTGGACTTGCAACCTTGCTTATATTCGAACAGGGCTACATTTCTCATTCCAGACTGCATCTCTGTTTTTGCTGCAAGGCTGCAAGAAAAAGCAAAGGTAATTGCCTCCCCCTTGAAAAGCTTTGTTTTGAAATAGATGACCAACACGGGGTTGCAAATGGGCAGTCAGGCCTCGTAAATTTGGCTCCATGCTCTGTGTTTGGAATCGGATCAATAGGCCAACAGACAAACTAGAGAAAGGTTATTGATCTGTATTTTCACAAAAGCTCTCCCTTCTGGCCCACAAATCAATCAGCAGAAGCCTTGTGAAGAACCATGTCAGAGGTTTCACTGCAGAAGAGACAAGATGTGAACTGAACGTTTCTTTTAATCCAGATGAAACAGGACAACTCAGCACTGAAGCACTTAGAACAGAATTTCTCAACCTTGGCACCTTTCAGATGTGTGGACTTCCACTCCCCAAATTCCCCAATTAGCAAACTCATTATTGTTATCACGGAGCAAGACATTTATCTTAAGGCCCTAACAGCTAACATTTCCTGATTACAGATTCTGAACGCTCCTTGTCTCTAAATTTAAATACCTACATTTGTCAAGAACCTAGAAAAGGGAGCTTTGAAAATATTTGTTTGAAGATGGGTGGATTTTAACTCGCAGAATTTACTGCCCAGTAAGCTGACTGGAAGTCTTCACATCTGAAAGCTGCCAAGGTTAAGAAACAATGATTTAGGACAGTGGTTCTTAACCTGGGCGATATTGCCCCCCAGGGGGCAATTTCATTTTTCAGGGGGGCGATGGAACGAAAAGGGGGCGATGGAGCAAGAAGTTTTGGGGACACTTTTGAGACTTTTTTGTACAGTGAATCGCTGTATATCTGTCATACAAAAACATCAGATCGCTCGCTATTAGTGGATTGAATTGTGTTTTCAAAGGTTCCTCCAGCTAGCTTCAGGACAGAACGCCGTACATATGTGAATACGAATCGCTTATCTTCATGCACGTTGTGCAGCAGCCTCTACCCATACAGTGGTGCGCCATTGGCCAGAATATGGGAGATATGGGGAAAAGACTGGAAATAAATTATTTGCATCGATATGTCCTGATGACCATTTTAAAGAAAACATAAAAAGGGTTTGCATAAATTGAAGAATTATTTCCTATGTTGTGATTGAGAGGTGATGTTGGGGGAGGGGGGCGATGACAACTTCCTCATTGGCTCAAGGGGGCGATTCGTTCAAAAAGGTTAAGAACCTCTGATTTAGGATATTAAAAAATGTTAAATTAGGATTTTTTTAAAAAAAAATACCATATATGGTGCTCTCTGGTTGTTTTCTTGTAGACGCTTCATTACTAAATGTAGTAACATCAGCAGTGCACAGCAAGTTAATGTTTTCAAAAGTGAATATCGAATTCCAGGTGATGTGAACCTGAAGACATTGGATTAGATAGGGGGGGGGTGTCCTAGATTCAGAACGTGCTCAGGCTCACAACTAGCCACCCTCTGTCCATATGGCTGCAGCATCCATTCATTAGTTGAGTATAAATGCAGGCTGCGTATCTTCCCAGAATGACCCAATGTGAGTTGCATGGAACGTCACACGCTGGATCAGAAAGAATGCAAGTCCCACTTTCCTGCTAGCTTTTTTTAATGGGACCTTTTACGTAGCCTAGAAATACCTGTTCTGCCTGGGGGTGAGGAGGATGTTTGTGCATCCACACCTTTGGTAAAAAAAATTGGTATTTATTCAGAGGACAAACCTGAATTGGCAGGAGGAGATTTTTGAAAGGGATGGTTTGACCGCAATTGTTTTGACATTTCGCTGCTCCGAGATTTTTATGAGTAAAGGACTAGTTGGAAAATTCAGTCCATTGCATCAGTGTTATATAAAAAAAAGGAAGGGAGGGGGCTGCATAAACTTATTCCCATTATCATCTCCTTTCCATCCCCGCTCATGTGAACTGCTCTGGGGTCTAATTATTATGTCTTTTCCCCTCCTTTACATGCTTGGATTTGTGAATTCCTCAACATGCTAAAACCAGGGCTTTTCAACTAGTAGTACGGGTACCACCTGTGGTACATTGGCACCTGGCAGGTGGTACGCGAGCATCCTAGAAAAGTAGTGGGGGAGGGGAATGAGCTGAACCGGTGGCAGCACCGCACAAGCCTGAGCGAGAGATGGCTGGAACTGCAGGGCTGTCAGGGCTCAGTGGAAGCGCCAGGATCAGCGCCAGGCTCCAGCTGGAGCTCAGCGCTGATCCTGGCGCTTCTGCTGAGCCCAGAAGAAGCGCCAATCAGCTGGAATATTGCAGCATCTCCAGGGTCTTCTGATTTACATTCAGATGCTTGGCAACTGATTCATATTTATGATGGTCACAGTGTCCCAGGGTTATGTGAAGTGACCAAAACCTGCTGCAACCACCCAGCAGACGGGGGGGGGAATAAAAACCAAACACCCCCCACCCCACCCCCGCTGCCAATCCTCAACAGAAATGCTCACAACAGTGAAAACCTCGGACAGGAGGAAGAGTGCCGCCGGGTGGGCAGGCAGGTGTCTTGCTCGGCTGTGGCTTGGGGGGCACTTTTTTTAGTGCCACTGTAACTTTGAACAGTCACTAAGCGAACTGTTATAAGTTGAGGACTACCTGTGCTTCATCATTTTTTCTTTTTTTGGTCATCAAGTTTTTGACACCTTGCTAGACAACCGGTGGTACTCGGATGTTGCCATATCCTAAAAGTGGTACAGTGGGTGAAAAGGTTGAAAAGCCCTGCTAAAACCACAGAGAAAAGAATGTGAGGGCAACAAATCGTTGTTCTTACTCTCTTATATCACTGTTAGAAAAGATGAGCATCTGTGTTACTATTTCTGGTAGGTCTTAATAAACTTTTGCTGCTCGGGATTGAATGATGCATTTTATGTAATGTGACTCTTGATAAAGGATAAGATATAGGAAGAGGGTTTTTTTTAAATTGAAATACTGGAGAACACCAGCCAGCAGTGCCAAAGACATTCCAGATATTGTCCCCAAAGCATGCAAAAGCTGACTACAAGAGATATAGGTCAGGGATCTTCAAACTAGGGCCTTTTATGACTTGTGGGCTTCAACTCCCAAAATTCCTTAGCCAGCATGCCTGGCTGAGGAATTCTGGAAGTTGAAGTCCACAAGTCATAAAAGGGCCAAGTTTGAAGACCCCTGATATAGGTAGAGCAAAATGTTCATTTTGGCGGTTACAATACAAATAATATTTTTCTTTCTGGAGAAGGAGGTGGCAGACTGAGGAAGGGAGCAGGCTGGCTGGCTGAGGAATTCTGGGAGTTGAAGTCCACTGCTCTTAAAGCTACAGGTTATTTCCACCCATGCCTTGCAAGTGTCTCTGCTAAGGATTGTACAATAACGAGTACTAAAAATGTGTTTTTATACCTGCTGCTTCAGTTGCACTTTCTTATCTTAGCATTCGCATATCTGCCAATGAACAATCTGAGACCCTCCTATTTTTCTTCCAGCAGAACGGGGAAGCTTCTTTATTCGAGGTGAACATCCGCTACGTTGGAGGACTTCTGTCCACATATTACCTGACAGGCGAAGAGGTTGGTACTGACCCAATTGCACGTCTGATTTGCAAAATAGATTTCTGCACGGAGAATTTATTTATTTATTTATTTTCAGTGTTTATATGCCGCCCAATTCCAAAGGACTCAGGGCGGCGTACAAAGTTAAAACAATGATAAAACAATAAAATAAAGCAGTCATACCGCGAGTCCGATCATATCCCGGCCCCCCGGGGACATCAGCCCCAGGCCTGCCGGAACAGGAGGGTTTTAACGGCCTTCTTAAAGGCCGGCAGGGTGGGAGTAGTTCGAACCTCGGGGGGAAGTTGATTCCACCAGGTCGGAGCCACCACAGAAAAGGCCCTTCCTCGAGGGCCCGCCAGCCGACATTGTCTGACCGACGGGACCTGAAGGAGACCCAATCTATGGGACCTCACCGGTCTCTGGGAGCTGTGCGGCAGAATGCGGTCCTGTAAGTAACCTCAAACCCTACCTGTTTCCTTGCCTAAAGCAGCTAAAAATGGCACCTCTTGATAAATATCAGAGCACTGATGACAGCTGTTAATTAAGTTGGGCATAATTACTTGGCTTGACTCATCCAGTAGGATTTTCCTCCTGTGGATAATTTCTCCAGGACAGTTCACTGGTTTGGTACATTGGTCTCTGCAGAAATGCCGCTGGCCACCGTTTTGTGTTCTGAATTTATTAATGACTTGACGCTAGACAGGAGGACCTCACAAGGGTCACATTAAACACTGCTGTGAACTGTTATTATTTTTTTTAAGGGACAACTACTTTTAACTCTACCATCAAACCCCAAAAATCTTCCTTGGCATTAAAGTCATGTGTGATGAGCGCCTAAATTTCACGGACTCCTTCCAAGGCATTCTTCGTTATGTCAGCAAGGGAGAATGCATCAGTGAAGGCATTAATTGCCGTAACCTTCTGGCATTAATTCTTGGAACTGGAGTACCTAGGCAAGTGTTTCCATAAAACATAGCTACATAGCAGGAATCCTTTTAGTGAGAGCTTTTATGAAATTTAGGGTAGGCATTAGTCTTAAAAAGGGGTTGTTATGCTTTTATACTATACTTTGGCTGCTGATCTACTTCTGTGTGCAATTCAAGATCTGGTTATCATCTTTAAAGACCTTTATGGCAAGGGTCCAGGATATCTGCAGAACCATCTTCCCCCTATAGTAGTGGTGGCGAATCTATGGCACGTGTGCCAGAGGCGGCACTCAGAGCCCTCTCTGTGGGCACGCACACCATGCCTCAGAGATGGCAACCGTCCCTCTTCAACCAGCTGGCCGCTAACTCACTGAGGTCCCACGTGGCCAGATGCATCCCAGCACGGCTGGTTTCTCTCCCCCCCGTCCCATCCCGCATGCTCTCCTTTTCCTGGGCACGACCCACTGCATCGCCTCCTCAGCTATCGGCCGTCAGTCCAGCTCAGAGGCGGCTTCTCTGAACTGCTGGCGGCCAGCTGCGGAGCCCCAAAGTGTGCTGGTCGATGGGCCGGCAGGCTGTGGCTGCTGACAGACATAATCAGCCCCCATGCATTTGCTGGCCTCTGTGTGCGGGGGCTGATGTTGTCAGGCAGGAGTCACCCCTGCCTCACCTTGCCCCGTGGAAATGGCACCCCTCCCTGCCTCGCCTTGCAGGACGAGCCCACCTTGGCCACACCCACTCAGTCTGCCAAGACTACCACAGCCACGCCCAGCCAGTGGGCCACGCTCACTGGCACCTGGCGATAAATAAGTGGGTTTTGGGTTGCAGTTTGGGCAATCGGTCTCTAAAAGGTTCGCCATCACTGCCCTATAGGATTGGCCCATCCCACTTGTGCTGACCGAAGGTACCTACTGCGGATCCCATCAGCCAAGGAATTTTGGCTGGTGGGATCCAGGAGATGGCCACGGCTTTCTGCCATGGCTCCCACCTTTTGGAATATCTTGCCTTCAGAGGTAAGATCCGCCCCTTCTCTTTTAGCCCTCAGGAAAAACCTTGAAACTAGGCTATGTCACCCTATATGGGGTTCTGAAGGGGAAAAATACATCCTGGCACATCCTTCAAAGAACATTCTTTCCTTGGAATAAATGGTCTCAAAGGTGACCTTGCTTCCTGGGCCAATGACTTGTACCAAAGTGAACTTTGCGGCATGATGTAATACCGCAGCAGTACAGTTCCTGCTTATTTTTCCATTGTTCCGTGGTACACGCTGAGACTGATTGCACTATATATTTTGGATGGCATCGAAAGGTTGCACAAAAATTTCTAGGACAGAAACTGGAGCAAAGCAGTAGTTTGGCCTCCTGCTGTGGCTTTGAATCTATAGAACAAGGGAGCTGCATGGTTCCAATGACAGATTGTAAGACCCTTGTGGTGCAAAAGTGTTATATGGTCAGCTTTTTGTCTTTTGAAAGGAACAGCATAGCACAGCAAGTTGTGAAGGTTTTTTCCCAAAAAAATTGTTTCCCCCCCCCACACACACTTAAGTCTTACAAGTTAGCTTTGCCACTGTGGGCTTGGCAATGCTGCTTTCCTCATTTAGACAAAAGCTTTGGATCCTGCAAGATGTCTCTGTAAATCACTTAATGCTCTTCCCTTTATAACAAGTAAACTCTTGATTAATATATCTGCAGAACGATGCAGCTTTTCTCTTTTCAGCAAGTTCAGTTCCTGTGGTGATTGGAGTAAATAGGGAATAGGCAGAAGATGTCCGTTTGCAAATTTTAAAAAAAGCCTGAGAAACTGACTAGAACAGGGAATTGCTCAACAGCTTTACACGTAGTCAAAGGAGAGAAGCAACCTAGAAGTAAGGAGAAACTTCCTGACAGTTAGAACAATTAACCAGTGGAACAATTCGCCTCCAGAAGCGGCGAATGCTCCAACACTGGAAGTTTTTAAGAAGAGACTGACAGCCATTTGTCCGAAGTGGTGTAGGGTTTCCTGCCTGAGCAGGGGGTTGGAGTTGTTGTTGTTGTTGTTGTTGTTATTATCATCATCATCATCTGACACAGCCAGATGTTCAGACTGGATTTAGCATTTTTGTCTACCTATCGAGTCCTTACCAAGGACCTGGGATAGGCAGATGTGGATGTTTGATGGTATTACAGATATCGTCGCAGGATGGAGGCGGTTCCTAGTAAGGCCGCCTTTTGCAATTGACTAATGGCGAATTTGTCAATGCCAATGGTATTCAAATGGTTGTTTTGGGATTGCACCCAAGGCGCCTATGACTATTGGTACTACCCTTGCTTGCTTTTGCCACAGTCTTTCTATTTCTATTTGTAGGTCTTTGTATTTTGTTATCTTCTCCAGTTCTTTCTCATCTATTCTGCTGTCTCCAGGCACTGCCACGTCCACTATCCAGACTTTTTTGTCTTTCTTATCGACAATTGTTAAGTCTGGGGTGTCATGTTGCAGGTGCTTGTCTGTTTGAATTCTGAAGTCCCAGAGCAGTTTAACTTTATCATTTTTTATGACTTTCTCTATTTTATGATCCTACCAATTCTTGCTTACAGGCAAATGATATTTCTTGCAGTTGTTATTACTATTATTGTTGTTGTTGTTGTTGTTGTTGTCCTTGACCTATGATTATATTTGAGCCCTAACTTATGGTCATAAGTCATGGTGGTTGTTATGACAGCCCACCAGACAGAGAGGAAGAAGGGGTGTGAAAAGCTAATGAAGATATTTGCTTCTCTGTCCCCACTCAGAACTGTTTTCAGTCCTGGCCAACGTCTGAATTCATGATGGTGTCAAAAATCATTGATTTGGATGCCTTTTAGTGGAGCTTAGAGATGGAGAATTTTTTTGAGAGCTGAATGCATTCAGAAAGAGGCATCACTGTTGGGGTTCATATCCATTGTTGTCCCTCCCCCTCCTACACAACCTTCCCTAATACATTGTCTGCCAGACATAGAATCATAAAATTGTAGAATCAGAAAGAATGTCAAGGATCATCTAACCCAGGGGTAGGTAACCTTGGCTCTTTTATGACTCGTGGACTTCAACTCCCAGAATTCCTGAGCCAGCATAGCTCATAGGAATTCTGGGAGTTGAAGACCACGAGTCATAAAAGAGCCAAGGTTGCCTACCCCTGATCTAACTCAATGTTTTTCCACACAACTTTAAGGTGTGTGGATTTCAACTCCCATGCTGACTAGGGAATTCTGGGAGTTGAAGTCCACACATCTTCAAGCTGACAAGATTGAAGAAACACTGGCCTACTTCTCATTGATTTCATACTGTCTCCTTCTCTGCACTGGCACCTGAGTGGGCTTTCCAAGGCATTCAAGCAGAGAGTCTTTCTCTCTCTCTTTTTTTAATTTATTTATTCCTTTTTCACTCTACAAAAAAAAATACATTTTCCCCTTAACAGTACTGTGTTATACATCTCATATATATTATTTACGATTATTTACATTAGTAATCATACCTTTTTGTTTCTCTGTTCTAGCCAATCATAACATTTATTCCATATCTCGTAAAATTCTGTTGCCTCCTTGTCTTTTAGTTCTAGCGTAAGTTTGTTCATTTCTGCGCATTCTAGTATTTTATATATAATCATATCATTTGTAGGTATGTTTTCACCTTTCCAACACTGGGCATATACTATGCGGGCTGCTGTTAATATATGTACAATGATATATTGGAGTTGTTTTTCCATCTTTAAATTTATTATACCCAAAAGAAATAGTTCAGGTTTGAGTTCAATTTGCACCTTTGTTATCTCCTGTATCCAGTTCTTTATCCATTTCCAATAGATCTTTGCTTTAGGGCACAGCCACCACATATGATAGAATGTTCCCTCCTTATTTTTGCATTTCCAGTATTCCGGATTCATATTTTTGTACATTTTAGCCAGTCTCACTGGTGTTAAATGCCATCTATAGAACATTTTATATTGATTTTCCCTATATGCAGTTGACAATGTCAGTTTACAATTTCTGTTCCATAATCTTTCCTAGTTTTATATTTCGGCCCACATTTCGTGCCCATGCTAATTGGCCCTTTCACTATTTCTTCCTCCAAATCTACCTCTAATAAATATTTATAAGTTTTTGTTAGAAATTTTCCTTCCTTACCTGTTAAAATTTTATCCAATTGCTGTGGGGTCTGGTTTATTCCGTACTCTTCCATATCCTTACTATGTTTAGATTGGATCTGTAAGTATGGCCACCAATCTATAATTATTCCCTGTTCTTCTAATTTAGAGAGTCTTTCTCATTACCTACTAAATCAGAGGGTTTCACACTTTTGCAAGCTGTGGAATCTGTTTTTTAATCCGGATCTGCAAAGTGGTGGCTGTGGCACTTTATTTGTTAGTTAGAGAACAAGCCCCGCCGTTAGAGAATTTGCTATGGATATCCCTGGCCTGTGTTTGAGTGAAGTTTATTGTTTTCCCCTTAATTTCTAATGGTACCCCATCAAGTTCTTGCAGATCCCTTAGGATTGCACCAAAAAGTTTGAAAAAACCCAAACCGTCCTTTTCACTGGGAGTTCCAAGGACTGAATCCAATATTTTCCATGTGCAACATATGCACTGCATCTTGACTATTGGGGGCCTTCTATTTTTTTCCTTAAGTTCAAAAGGCTGGATTTTTCTTATCTGAATTCATTTTCAGTCTGGGTGTTTATCTTTAATATGGGTGTTTGTGTAATTGCTGAATTGGTTCATACAATTGCTTGAATAGTTCACAATAGGCGTCTACTGAATACCAGTCCTTGAAAAACAAAATGAAAGAAGATTCATTTCCTTACTTATCACGCCTTTAGTTTCAGTTTGTAAGGGGAAATAATGTTGAAATAATAAAATTGTAAAGTAGATAGACTCTCGTTAATTGAAACAACACTGTTGTAATGGAACAGGGACAGCAAACAGTATTAACTGATAAAACCAAGATTTTAAAGATCATTTAGACCAGACATCAAAATTAGTTTCAGTTTGTAAGGGGAAATAATGTTGAAATAATAAAATTGTAAAATAGATAGATTCTCGTTAATTGAAACAACACTGTTGTAATGGAACAGGGACAGCAAACAGTATTAACTGATAAAACCAAGATTTTAAAGATCATTTAGACCAGACATCAAAGTTTCCAATGCCTATTAAAGATCAAACCCACTTGCACACTCTACTCCTGTGGTGGCAAACCTATGTCACGCATGCCACAGGTGGCACACAGAGCCCTCTCTGTGGGCACACATGCCATCACCCCAGTCCTAGGCCTTCACCTGGGTTTTATAAAACCTTTTTGCTTTAGGCCTCCATTGTGTGCAAAAAAAAAAAAAGGTTCAATCAATCAATCAGTTTCAACTTTTCGCGGGGGAAAAAAGATCTCGCAAAGTTGGAATTAATTGGTTGAACTTTTTAGTCCCACCCAGTCTGCCGTTACCACCCAATGGGCCACACCCACCCAGCACCTGATGATACGTAAGTGGGTTTTGGGTTGCAATTTGGGCACTTGGTCTCTAAAAGGTTCACCATCACTGCCCTACTCCATGATGGGAGGATCCAGAAGCCACCATACAAAGCCATTACTATGCCTCAAGCTTAGAGTAATGGCAAAGAAATAAGATATGTGTGGTTTCCACAGTAGAACTCTGGTTTCTCATCTATTTTTCTATCTCCTCTATTTTCATGATTTTATTTTATTTATTTACTTATTTTGGCCACCTGCGCTCTAGTTGTCAACAGGAGCTAAAGTACATTCACGCTGAGAAAAGATGCTTCCAGCTATTGTATCCAAATATTGCCCGTTCAGTCTGGGCAGAAGAACAGTAGTCTACGAGGATGGTTCTCTAAAGCTATTTCTCTTGAAGTAGCAATAGTACTAGTACTTAGCAATAGCATTTAGAGTTATATACAGCCCAATAGTGCTTTACAACACTCTCTAAGCCAGGGGTCTTCAAACTCGGCCTTTTTATGACTCATGGACTTCAGCTCCCAGAATTCCTCAGCCAGTGTGCCTGGCTGAGGAATTCTGGGAGTTGAAATCCATGAGTTATAAAAGGGCCGAGTTTGAAGACCTCTGCTCTAAGCAGTTTACAAAGTCAGCATATCGCCCCCAACTATCTGGGTCCTCATTTTACCAACCTCTGAAGGATGGAAGGCAGAGCCCCATCAAGATAGAACTTCAGGCTGTGGGCAGAGTTTTCTGCAATACTGCATTCTAATCATTGCACCACTAGGCCTCCTGGTGTCCCAGGAAGTACCTCCAAGTGGCTGAACATATGGAGATTTATGTTTGGCAATCCAGCACCTAATTATTAACTGCTTCCTGACTCCTTCCTCTCTTTCTTCCAACAGGTCTTCAAGAGCAAAGCTCTAGAACTTGGAGAGAAACTTCTCCCGGCTTTTAACACACCAACAGGAATCCCACGTGGGGTCATCAACCTGGGCAGGTAAGGAACAGTAATGTGTTGTTGCTAACGAATAGAGAATGAGAGGAGAAACCTGCCTGGACTGAAGTAAGCATTACAGGTAGTCCTTGCCTTACGACCATAATTGAGCCCAAAATTTCTGGTGCTAAGCAAGACAGTTGTTGTAAGTGAATTTTGCCCGTTATCATTTTTCCTGTCACATTTGTTAAGTGAATCACTGGAGCTGTTAAGATAGTAACATGGTTGTTAAGTGAGTCTGACTTCCCTATTCACTTTGCTTGTCAAAAGTTCGCAAAAGGGGATCACATGACCCCCAGGGCACTGCAGCCATCATAAATATGAGTCAGTTGCCAGGTGTCTCAATTTTGATCACATGCCCATGGGCATGGGTCGGCAACCCACAGCTCCAGAGCCGCATTTACAGAGAGAAAGAGTCAGAGACAGAGAGAGGCACTTGCGCTTCCCTTCTCTCTCTCTCTCTCTCTCTCTCTCTCTCTCTCTCTCTTTCTCTCTCTCTCTCTGTGTGTGTGTGTGTAAAAAAGAGAGTGGTCTCACGCTGTTCTCCAACGAGCTGACAAGCTTATTGGGCAGGGCTCCTGCCTTGGCTGCGTCTCTGCAGGAAGCAGGAAGGGCAGGAGAGAGCCAGCCCAAAAAGAATGTGTGTCAGCTTGTTGAAGAACAGTTTGAAGCCAGCTTGCCAGGTGAGCAGAAGATGGGAGGGGGGGGAGAGAGAGAGAGGAAAGAGAGAGGGGGGAGAGGAAAGAGAAAAAGAGAGAGGGAGAGAGAGAGGGAGAGGAGAGAAAGAGAGGGAGGGAGAGGAAAGAGAGAAATAGAGGGAGAAAGGAAAGAGAGAGAGGAGAGAAAGAGAAAGGGAGAGGAAAGAGAGAGAGAGAGAGAGAGAGAGAGAGAGAGAGAGAGAAAACTCATGCACAGTAGCCTCTATTTCTTTTTAATTAAACTCTTCAATCAAGCTCTTCCCCTTGTTTTGCAGCTCCCAGTGTTTTCTTTTCTCTGGGAAATGGGTCCAAGTGGCTCTTTAAGTGTTTAAGGTTGCAGATCCCTGACCATGGGGCACTGCAATGTCGTAAGTTTGAAAAACAGTCATAAATCACTTTTTTCACTGTAACTTCTAATTATCATTAAATGAACTGTTATAAGTCGAGGACTATCTGTACTGTTTTCAAAAGGCGTCAAGCCAATGCTGTCAAAAAGCAAATATGGATAGCTTTCAGTTTCTCCCAAACTTCCCCCAACCTAGCACTTTCTATCTGTGTAGAGCAGGGGTAGGCAACCTTGGCTCTTTTATGACTTGTGGACTTCAATCCCAGAATTCCTGAGGCAGCCGTGCTGAGGGGAAAGGGAGAGGTTTCCAAACTGAGCTATGCTGGCTCAGGAATTCTGGGAGTTGAAGTCCACGAGTCATAAAAGAGCCAAGGTTGCCTACCCCTGTGTAGAGGCTGAGATTTCTGGGTGTTTTAGGCTCCCAGTGATTTATTAACCCAGCCTAAATTGGAAAGTTTTCCTGTAATTCTTGCAGTGGGATTCCCATTGCCTTAAATCAATGTTTCTCAGTCTTGGTGTCTTTCAGAGAGGTGGACTTCAACTCCCAGAATGCTCCAGACAGCCATGCTGGCTGGGGAATTCTGGAAATTGAAGTCCGCATATCCAAGTCTCCAAGGTTGAGAAACATTACCAGTTGAACTCCCCAAACAAAGCTTTTTTTCTGTTCACAGGGCAGAGTTTCCTGCTAGTCTAATAGTGTTCCCAGGTGTTACAGAAATCAGAATGACTCAGGCCAACCTTTTTACCTCTGGCTACTTGAACTGACACTTTTCGGATCTAGCTCCTGTCATCCCAAATTGACTACAGCTATTCTGGCTGATAATTGGAACTTGAAACCAATATAGCAGAAACTTCCAGGGTGGAGAAGATTGGCCTGAAGTGAAACCAAAGTTGGCATAGTTGACTAATTTCTGAATTTCCCTTGGAGAGGAATTGAAAAGCATTTTCTGCTTCAACTTGCTTGCTCTCTGCAGTCATAACCCTTCTCTCTGCACCCTTGTTTTCGTAATCACAAGTTCCCAGCTGTTCTCTTGGTTTCAGCTTACTCACGGCATCTCTGTGTTGTGAGGGTGGTAGGAATTAGAAACATCTTCGCCTGAGAGTTTGGGGTGTCCTCAGCTGAGAGAAAGAGGTGAATTAAAACGAGCCAATGATTTAGCCTTGTGAATCCCAGTCTTGTATTTTTTGCCCTCCTTTTCATCTCGCCACATTTCTGTAACCTCTCGGGTCTGACTTTACTGTTTTTACAATGTGTAGTTCAGCGTGTTCCTCTAAACCAGGGGTTCTCAACCTGTGGGTCGGGACCCCATTTGGGGTTGAATGACCATTTCACGGGGGTCGCCAAACAACGCAGTCCGCCATTTTTTTCCCCTTTTCCTTAGCTGTGCTACTCCCTTTTATTCTATTGGCTTTTGAAAGCCAATAGAATAGACTCTCTTGAATAGAGTCTAATTCTATTGGCTTTCAAAAGCCAATAGGAATTGTCCAGGCTGTCTCTGCCCTGCTGAGCCCGCCAAAAGTCCCATTTGGCAAATGGTGCTGCACCAGTTGAGTAGTTCTCGACTTACGACCAGTTGAGTAGTCCTCGACTTACGACCGGGTGGGGGTCGCGGCATTAAAAAGGTTGAGAACCACTGCTCTAAACAAGACCTAATTTTTGCTCTTTGAATTGTCAGCCTAAATCGTGCAGTAATTAATCTTTGCCTTGAATGTCATTCTTGGTGAGAGTTCTTAGGACAGTTAGAATATCACCCCAGACCAGTTTTTTTTCAGCAACTGGCTAGGGCAGTGATGGCAAATCTATGGCACGCGTGCCAGAGGCGGCACTCGGAGCCCTCTCTGTGGGCACACATGCCGTCGCCCCAGCCCCGCCTCCCCCCACAACCCACTCCGTACCAGCAGCCCCCCGGAGGAGAGTCGCCCCCAGGCATGGCCCGCCTGGAGCAGCGCAGCCAAGGACATGGCAGCCGGGCAGTGGGGACAAGACTCCACCCTTGCGCCCTGTCGCAAACAGATGAGGCTGCGGGGCACAGGTGGAGGGCGTGGCCACCATGACGCTGCTGGGCTGCCTGAGCGAACTGCGGTGGGCCGTGGAGGTGGTGGGTGGCCCTCCGGGTGGATGGGGGCGGGTCAGGGGTGGAACGGGGGGGCAGTGTGGGGGTGGGGCAGTTTTTGGGCGCTCAGTGTCTAAAAGGTTCGCCATCACTGGGCTAGGGAATATTGGGAATTGAAGTCCACATATTTTAAAGCTGCTGAAGTTAAGATTCATTGCTGTAGACTACCCAAGTTATTCAATAATTTGGCAGAACATGGTCCTCCCTCCCTCTCTCCCATTTCTTTTCCTTCCTTCCTTTCTCCCTCCCTCCCTCCCATCTCTTTTCCTCCCTCCCTCCCTCCCTCCCTCCCTCCCTCCCTCCCTCCCTCTCTCCCCCTGAGCAAGGAGCTGCAGGTTGCTCTTTTCTGAACCATACTTCCTAAATTTCTCACCAGGGAACATGGCTAGCACTGAGATACTTGAAGGCCTCCAGAAGAAAAATGGGTCTTGATTAGAAAGTGCAGAAGCTATGTGAATGCTAAAGGATCATGCAGGGGGGGGTCCTAATCCAGAGGGCAAAAGGGGGGCATTCAGCAACATGTGGGGATTTTGATGATCAAAAGTCTGGCTGGGAAAGGAATGGGCACAGGTTCTCCAGCTGTTAACCTAATAGATATAAGCAGGCCAGAAGAATCTCTTTTTCTCCCTTTTTCAGTTTTCTATAATTTAGAAGAATAACTTGGACCTCTTCCTGGAGGCAAACCAAACAAGATTTATGACACAAGAAATTTCTTATGATTTGAGACTATTGATCTTGTTTTGCTGAGTAGTACTGAAAATTTATTGCTAAGCAACCATCATTTTAAGTAACTAAAATGACATAAATTTTTAAGAAATGATACCAAGATGTTAAGCTTAGCATGTATAGATATAACTTAAGTTCACTTTTTAAGGATAAAGAATAATTCTCCATGAAGCCAGGTCAAGGACTTGTGTTAGCCCTCCTACTTACAGCCGAGTTTAGAACCACGAAGGGAGGCCATTAGAGAGAAGAAAGGGGCAATAATCAGATTGAGAACGCTAGAAGGAAGAAAAGCAATTTTCAATTTAGTTCTCAATCCTCATTCATTTGAAAATAAAGATTCTGGTTTGCTCTGAGAATGAGAATAACTCCATTAAAGTTAATCTGCGAGAAACCCCTATTGGTATCATCGCTCTAAGTGGTGAACCTAGAAACACCATTGGAGATAAAAGATGGATTATCAGTATCCTTTAGGACAGACATGTCAAACTTGCGACGTCACGTGACGTCGTGCAACGTATCGGAACAGTTTTGCCATTGCCGGCAATGGGGTGGGCGCGGCTTCCGCATGATGCGTCCGGCCTGCGGGCCAGCAGTTTGACACCCCTGCTTTAGGACAAGGGTCTCCAAACTTGACAACCTGAGGACTTGTGGACTTCAACTCTCAGAATTCCCCGCCCATTTGAAGTCCACAAATCTTAAAGTTGCCAAGTTTGGAGATACCTGTGGCTTTTTAGGTTACCCACTGGAGTTTGATGTAGTGGGGAAGGGATTGGTCTAGGTCAGGGGTAGGCAACCTTGGCTCTTTTATGACTCGTGGACTTCAACTCCCAGAATTCCTGAGCCAGCCATGCTGAGGGGAAAGGGAGAGGTATCCATGCTGAGCCATGCTGGCTCAGGAATTCTGGGAGTTGAAGTCCACGAGTCATAAAAGAGCCAAGGTTGCCTATCCCTGGCCTAGGCCTAGACCGCTTTATGATTTGTGGACTTCAACTCCCAGAATTCCTGAGCCAGCCATGCTGAGGGGAATGGGAGAGCTTTCCAAGCTGAGCCAGGCTGGCTCAGGAATTCTGGGAGTTGAAGTCCATGAGTCATAAAAGAGCCAAGGTTGCCTACCCCTGGTCTAGGTAGAGCAAGGAGACCCAGTTTCTAGTTCCCCTTGAGCCATGGAAGCAGCCTAGGTGACACTGGGCCTGCCACTCTTTCTCAGTGTGATAGAATGTAGTGGATCGGACTCCCAGGAGGGAGGGGCTGCATTCTAGAGGAGCAAGACACAACGCAGTCCAGATAGTTTGTGTGAGAAAAAGAGGGTGAGGAGAGCCCCTCCCTAATAGTTCTCAGAGTATATGTTTAATGTAGGCAGAAGGCTGCTTCAGTTTGACAAGATTGATGTCCAGCCCCAGAATCAAAAAAAACACACAATGATTCAAGCAGATTTCTTTGTTGTTCCACACCTATATACAGAATCTTGCCAATCAGGCTGTTATCTGAAACTACCACATACTCTGAGAACTATCGGTTCGCTTAACTGCCACAAGCAAGATTGTAAAATCGTGTTGGTCAGGTGACCAACCCGTTTTATTACTGTCACATCTTACAACCGTAATGGGCAGGCTCCATAACGGTTGTAACCTGAGGGCTCCTTGTATAAACATAATCATCACTCTCCTTGTTCGGTCCAAAGTCTAGCATTTGGTTTCCAGCCAGGTTCTTTGGACAACATTGATGGAGGGGTGAAGGCAGCAAGCTATTTGTCCCCCCAATAGCTGATCTTCCGGTTGCCTCAAAAGCATCCTCATAGCTGTTGGCAGATCCTCTCAATGATTTTGTTTTTATCTTCGCTCCAAACCACTTGTACTTAATTGTAATTCCCCAAGATGGCTAGGTTTAAGGAAGATTTGAGGTGGATTTACCTCACAATCCCTTGTGGCGATAGATGTGATTCAGCTAAAAGTATTAAACTGCACCCCAAAACCCATCTTATTTCCCCAAGTCCTAGTCAAAGAAAGAACTTGGCTTTTCAACACGTAAGTTTTTATTTTTTTTAAAGGTTGAAAAGTGGTGGTCCTCTGGAGTCTATCGCACAAGCCTCCTAGCTCCATCTGCTGTCTCCCCATAATTCCTCCCTTCAGATAATCATAGCAGTGATAATTGTCTTTCCCAAAAAGAAGCCTTAACCGCAATCTGCCTCTTATGCTAATCAAGAGATGTAAGGATCAGGTCTTCCTATTTTTGAAATGGCAGTCATTAAACTTCTCTCAAGCTGACAATTATGGAGGCTGTTTTCAATCCTAAAAATATAGGCTGCTCTGCAGAGGCTGAGATGATCTTAACAGACTGTAATCAAGACTGATGTGTTGGCTGATTGGAGGAGATGAATAAGGAAGCAAAGTCTGGAAAGGTTCCTACGATTGCCATGTTTCTTCTTAACTCTCTGTAAAATTCCTGCAATCCGTGCCATTTGGCAAAACCAGAATGTTCATTGTATTTCTTGGGACCTTGGATCTAAAGCTCTAGATCAGGGATCTTCAAACTTAGCCCTTTTATGACTTGTGGACTTCAACTCCCAGAATTCCTCAGCCAGGCATGCTGGCTGAGGAATTCTGGGAGTTGAAGTCCACAAGTCATAAAAGGGCCAAGTTTGAAGACCCCTGCTCTAGATGTTTGCTTTTGACCACAAATAGGCTAAGCTAACTTCCCCAATGTTTACATCTTTTAAAAGCACAGTCATGCATGTCAAAATGCACACTGTATTCAGAGCTGCTCTTCACCTGACTTACCAGACTTCATATCTCATGGGTATTTATGTATTTATATACATCCTATTTCTATTGCCAACAAATGCAGAGAAACAATGGCAGTGTTAAAAAGAGAAAGTATGGTATATGTGACTTTATATCTGCTAAGTACTGCAGATCCATGTGTGAGCTGCCTATGCTATCTGTCTGTTTTCTATGTAGTCATACCAAATGCTTTTTCTGCACATGCGACATCATCTCAAACAAAAATTATACAACATTGTGCTCAACGACGTTGCTGGAAATAAGGAGAAGGTTGTAAATAGCATTTGGAGAGATTTGGGCTTCAAACATCTTAGATTCAAGGAGTCTTCCAGCACAGAAGTCCATGATCAGATTTGGGGCCAATTTAGCTCAGTGTTTTTCAGGAACACGGAGAGGAAAGCTGGGGTTAATAGTAACAATGAATGAATAAATCACTTCAAGATAATGTGGACTTCAATTCCCAGAATTCCATTCATGCCTGCTAGGGAATTCTGGGAGTTGAAGCCCATTCATGCTGGCTAGGGAATTCTGGGAAGCTGAATGACGTCCACACATCTTAATATTTCCATGGTTGGGAACTGCTAGAATAAATACACAATGTTGTACAGTCTGAGCCCTGCAAAGAATAGATCTCCTAGCTTGTAAAAGCAGCTCGGGATTCTCACTCCTTGTAAGCTTAGCTTTTTTTTTGTCTTTTTCTGTTTCTCCCAGTGGCATGAGCTGGAGCTGGGGATGGGCATCAGCAGGAAGCAGCATTTTAGCTGAATTCGGGAGCCTCCACTTAGAGTTTATGCACCTTTCAGAACTGTCTGGAAATTCCATATATGCTGAAAAAGTAAGTGTCCCCTCCCTTTTCTTTCTCTCTCTTTCTCTCTCTTATCAATTGGTGTGAAGTGGTTCCTCCCCTTCTTTCCACCATCTCTCCCCTCACAAACGTGCTCACTTAAGCACCTAAAGCAGCCTAATGAAATTCACTTTGTGTCTGTAACAAGGGTCCAGATTTGAGAAATAGGAATCTCATCCCTCCACGTTAATCCCAGCCATAATCATTTGGGCAGTGCTGAATCAAGTGTGTCATTTCTGCTTATGGCTGTGGCAGAGAACCTGTAAGATGTTAGGGAGCAATTACAGCTCCTTCACGCCAAGCATTTTGGCTAACTCCATCCAGTTGTACTGAGGCACCATCTGCCTGCCAGCAAAATTGCAGTTGTTCAATATAAGAAAGACACCGCAGATCAGTGAAATCTTTAGCGCAATGTTTCTCAACCTTAGCAGCTAGCACGGATGGATTTCAAAGCCCACAACTCCCTAGTCCTGCTAGATAGGGAATTCTGGGAGTTGAAATCCAGCCATCTTGAAGTTGCCAAGATTGGGAAGCATTGCTTTAGAATATCTCCCATTCCCTCTGATACCATCTTCTGTTTCTTCTCTAATTGCACAGTTAATGGGATTTTTCCCAAAATGGGGAGAGGCCTGAATCCTGCTCCTGCTGTGAACATCTTAGAGATTCAGAAGAAACCCTTGAAAAGTGTGGGATGATTATTGCTGAGAGGTGATAGTAGCTATGGCTGCACTTTGCATCTGGTGATTACTTCATGTCCTTCCTCAGTAGATTCTTGGAATTCTTTTGGGAGCACATTTTGCCAGCAATTATATAGGCTTGATATTTTTTCCCCTTATATTCCTATAATTGTCTAGCTACTGTAATGTAGCTACCACCCACTAAGAATATCCCAGAGTCTGAAGGAAACTGAGAGAAACTATTGTTTTGGTCCCCACAATATAAAAAAGATGTTAAGACTCTGGAAAGAGTGCAGAGAAGAGCAACAAAGATGATTAGAGGGCTGGAGGCTAAAACATATGAGGAATGGTTGCAGGAATTGGGCATGTCTAATGAAAAGAAAGTTTGGAGGAGACATGATAGCTGTGCTCAAACATTTGAGGGACTGCCACAAAGAAGAAGGGGTCAAACTATTTTTCCAAAGTACCTGAAGGCAAGACAAGAAACAATGGACGGAAAGTAATCAAGGAGAGAAGCAACCTAGAACTAAGGAGAAACTTCCTAACAGTGGGAACAATTAACAGCTTGCCCTCAGAAGTTGTGGGTGCTTCAGCACTGGAGGCTTTTAAGAAGAGATTGGACAGCAATTTGTGGGTTGGACTAGAAGACCTCCAAGGTCCCTTCCAATTTTGTTACTCTATTCTTTCCTAAGCCTTCCTGTTAGGATTAGAATTGGCATCCTGTACAACAAAGAGGTTGTCCCTGAGACTCCAAGACTCCAGCAGTTCTGCACTTCTGAACTATTCTTAGATGTGACTGGAGAACAGCTCACACCCAACTTTAAAAAGAGAAGGACAAGGGGGGACATGATAGCAGTATTCCAATATCTCAGGGGCTGCCATAAAGAAGAGGGAGTCAAGCTATTCTCCAGAGCACCTGAAGGCAGGACAAGAAGCAACGGGTGGAAACTAATCAAGGAGAGAAGCAACCTAGAACTAAGGAGAAACTTCCTGACAGTGAGAACAATTAATCAGTGGAACAGCTTGCTCCAGAAGCAGTAAATGGTCCAACACTGGAAGTTTTTAAGAAGAGACTGGACAGCCACTTGTCCAAAATGGTGTAGGGTTTCCTGCCCGAGCAGGGGGTTGGACTAGATGACCTCCAAGGTCCCTTCCAACTTTACTACTATTATTATTATTATTATCCATCTGCCTGTTTGCTAAGTGGGAAAGGGGTGGCTAGGATGCAAAAGGAAATTGGGGGCGGGGGAGGATAAGCAGAGAAAGAGGGAGGAAAAAATACAGGGGGGGGGAGCAGGAAACCAGATAGAGAAATAAGATACTAATGAAGGATAGAATGAGAGAAAGGGCTAGCCCAGAAGACGTGCAGGAGAACAAAGGAAATACAGTGGGGCAAAAAAGTATTTAGTCAGCCACCAATTGTGCAAGTTTTCCCACTTAAAAAGATGAGAGAGGCCTGTAATTGTCATCATAGGTAGACCTCAACTATGAGAGACAAAATGAGAAAACAAATCCAGACAATCACATTGTCTGATTTGGAAAGAATTTATTTGCAAATTATGGTGGAAAATAAGTATTTGGTCACCTACAAACAAGCAAGATTTCTGGCTCTCACAAACTTCTTCTTTAAGAGGCTCCTCTGTCCTCCACTCATTACCTGTATTAATGGCACCTGTTTGAACTTGTTATCAGTATAAAAGACACTTGTCCACAACCTCAAACAGTCACACTCCAAACTCCACTGTGGTGAAGACCAAAGAGCTGGCGAAGGACACCAGAAACAAAATTGTAGACCTGCACCAGGCTGGGAAGACTGAATCTGCAATAGGCAAGCAGCTTGGTGTGAAGAAATCAACTGTGGGAGCAATAATTAGAAAATGGAAGACATACAAGACCACTGATAATCTCCCTCGATCTGGGGCTCCATGCAAGATCCCACCCCGTGGGGTCAACATGATCACAAGAACGGTGAGCAAAAATCCCAGAAACACACGGAAGGACCTAGTGAATGACCTGCAGAGAGCTGGGACCAATGTAACAAAGGCAACCATCAGTAACACTCTACGCCGCCAGGGACTCAGATCCTGCAGTGCCAGACGTGTCCCCCTGCTTAAGCCAGTACATGTCTAGCCCCATCTGAAGTTTGCTAGAGAGCATTTGGATGATCCAGAAGAGGATTGGGAGAATGTCATATGGTCAGATGAAACCAAAGTAGAACTGTTTGGTAGAAACACAACTCGTCGTGTTTGGAGGAGAGAGAATGCTGAGTTACATCCAAAGAACACCATACCTACTGTGAAGCATGGGGGTGGCAACATCATGCTTTGGGGCTGTTTCTCTGCAAAGGGACCAGAACGACTGATCCGTGTACAGGAAAGAATGAATGGGGCCATGTATCATGAGATTTTGAGTGCAAACCTCCTTCCATCAGCAAGGGCATTGAAGATGAAACATCATGGCTGGGTCTTTCAGCATGACAATGATCCCAAACACACTGCCTGGGCAATGAAGGAGTGGCTTTGTGAGAAGCATTTCAAGGTCCTGGAGTGGCCTAGGCAGTCTCCAGATCTCAACCCCATAGAAAACCTTTGGAGGGAGTTGAAAGTCCGTGTTGCCCAGCAACAGCCCCAAAACATCACTGCTCTAGGGGAGATCTGCATGGAGGAATGGGCCAACATGGACCAGCAACAGTGTGTGCCAACCTTGTGAAGACTTACAGAAAACGTTTGACCTCTGTCATTGCCAACAAAGGATATATAACAAAGTATTGAGATGAATGTTTGATATTGACCAAATACTTATTTTCCATCATAATTTGCAAATAAATTCTTTCCAAATCAGACAATGTGATTGTCTGGATTTGTTTTCTCATTTTGTCTCTCATAGTTGAGGTTTACCTATGATGACATTTACAGGCCTCTCTCATCTTTTTAAGTGGGAGAACTTGCACAATTGGTGGCTGACTAAATACTTTTTTGCCCCACTGTATATGGGAGCTTAGATACAGAAGATGAGAGGGGGAAAGGATAACAGCTGGAAAGGCAAAGTTGAAGTTGAAAACAAGGAAGAGAAGCACCACAGGGATGGAGATTATGAATATGCAACCTTAATGGAAAGCCTTTTGTTGAAGTTAGGATTAATGCAAAATGCCTCATCCTAACGTATTCCTTAATGTAGGAGAGAGGATAATTCTTGTTCAGTGATTTTCCAAGAGGTCAGTTGAGCAGCCCACTCGCCTAAATCCTGTCCTTCCATCAATGCGAAAACCGAAAACCGGCTTGTTAATGGATTCGCCCACCCAGAGCAGGCTGTGAATTAAAGCTAAAGCTGTATGAGAGCACACACGAGGGGTGCCGGTTGCAAACAGCCATCTGGAGGGAAATGGACTTGGTCAAAAGCTTGTCAGTTCATTAGCTCCCAGCTAGAGATTTATGGGCTTTTTTCTTAAAAATAAATAAATAAATAGAACATTGCTAATCTACATGTGTGTTCAAGACTTGCTCTTGAAATAACAGGGTCTTCAGCAGAGGGAGCTGCACCCCTAATGTGCAGCGGAAACCAACGTGACAATTGACAAAAGAATGGAACAAACAGTACTTGATCCTTGTGAGCTTAAAGCCGGGGCCTTCAAACTTGGCCCTTTTAGGACTTGTGGACTTCAACTCCCAGAATTCCTCAGCCAGCATGCCTGGCTGAGGAATTCTGGGAGTTGAAGTCCACAGTCCTAAAAGGGCCAAGTTTGAAGGCCCCTGGCTTAAAGTCAAGTTTGCAATCTTGAGCCTGAGGCTAGATTGCCTTCACTAGATTGCCAAACGAAGCCACAAGATTTACACAGGACACAACCCAAGCTGTGGTTCTAAGCCAGAGGTAGGCAACCTTGGCTCTTTTATGACTCGTGGACTTCAACTCCCAGAATTCCTGAGCCAGCATGGCTCAGCTTGGAAACCTCTCCCTATCCCCTCAGCATGGCTGGCTCAGGAATTCTGGGAGTTGAAGTCCACCAGTCATAAAAGAGCCAAGGTTGCCTACCCCTGTTCTAAGCAATGGATTTCAGACCTTAGTTTGTACCCAGCACTTAAATCATAGTGGGTGTTAACATAGTACAGTATGGTAAAGAAAAGCGAGTCATACTGACAGCATCAAGTTTGCATCAAGCCAAATTAGCTGGATGTCATAACAAATACGTGATGTAGCTTGATTAGAAACACTGCCTATAAAATAAAGGTTTCTTGAAATGGGTGAGATTGAACACAAATGTACTTTGTGATTTTATCTTCTTTTAGCATGTGTCCTTTTAGCTGTTACGGTATCCTTATAGAGCCGGTTTCATCTACCGGTAGTGGTTAAGGCACCAGGTTAGAAAGTAGGAGACTGTGAGTTCAAGTCCCACCTTGCCATGAAAACCAGCTGGGTGACTGAGCCAGTCACTCTCTCTTAGCCCACCTCACAAGGTTGCTGTGAGGAAAATAGGAGGAAGAAGATGTATTGGATAGGTTCACTACCTTCAGTTATTTGTAAAAATAATAAAGGCGGGAGATAAACAAAAATAAATGTAATGTGTCCCGAAAGTTTGGCTTGGGAAACTGCTCTGGTGCCATTGCCTTACTTGCACCTTCTGAGGTCAAAGGTTCTTCAACCACTAGAACAGTGGTGGCGAACTTATGGCACGGGTGCCAGAGGCGACACTCAGAGCCCTCTCTGTGGGCACAAGTGCCGTTGCCCCAGCCTTGCCTCCGCCCATGACCCCCTCCTCACCAGCAGCCCCCCTGGAGGAGAGTCGCCCCCGAGCGTGGCCCACGCGGAGCAGCACAGCCAAGGACATGGCAGCCAGGCAGCGTAGACAAGACTCTGCCCTCACACCCCAATACGCACAGTTGATGCTGCGGGGTGCGGGCAGAGGGCGTAGCTGCCATAGCGCTGCTGGGCTGCCTGGGCAATCTGCGGCGAGCCCTGGAGGTAGTGAGTGGCCCTGCGGGCAGGCAGGGTAGAGCAGAGTGGGGGCAGGGCAGGGGGTGGAGCAGGGTGGGGCAGGGGGTGGGGCCAGTTTTTGGGCACTCGGTCTCTAAAAGGTTCACCATCACTGCACTAGAAGGTCCACAGCCAAGGGGAAACTGGCAAAAATGTGTAGGTGTTGGATGCGGTTGCTTGGCAACAGAGGACGTTTCAGAGTCTGCCCCTCGTCACGGTTTCTCGTGGTTCTCTCTGCCTTCGGAATCTGGCGGTTCTCTCTGGCTTCGGTGTTTTGGGCTGAATTGGAAGAGCTGTTTGGGGATCTGCTGCCACAGATGGCATTCATGAGTACATCCCATGGAGGGTGGGCCCATCAGCAGTAATAGCGAAATGAAACCTTTGCACTCCAGGACATTATATACCACTGAATAAGAGGCACTGGACGCAAACAAATAAAAATGGCCATCACGTTCCAGCTGTGTGGAAAGCAGCGCAGTTGGCCAATTTACAATGATTTTTGTCCAGCCTCCTTTAAAGCTGGTTAAAATAGAGGTTATCACCATGTCTGATGGCACCGACTTTCACAAATGAATGCACGGGGAGTCCTCAACTTTTCATTTAGTGACCATTCAAAGTTACAACGGCTCTAAAAAAGTGACTTATGACCGTTTTTCACACTTATGGCCGTTGCAGCATCCCCATGGGTCGCGTGATAAAAAATTCAGATGCTTGGCAACTGGTTCGTATTTATGACGGTCGCCATGTCCCAGGGTCGTGTGATGCCCTTTTGCGACCTTCGGACAAGCAAAGTCCATGAGGAAGACAGATTCAGTTAATTGTGTTACTAACTTGACAACTTCAGTGATTCACTTAGCAACTATGGCAAGAAAAGTTGTAAAATGGGACAAAACTCACTTAACAAAATGTCTTACTTAGCAAGGGAAATTTGATTCTTTTGCGATCAATTGTGGTCATAAGTTGAGGACTATCTGTATTGCATAAAGAATCCTTTGTTTTTATCAGCCTGAAATCTCTCCATATTTAATTCCAGACACCTAACTTAATACGGTAGTCTTTGACTTGCAACCATTCATTTAGTCACTGTTCAAAGTTACAGCAACACTGAAAAAAGTGATTTACAACTGGTCCTCCTACTTATGCCCATTGCAGTATCCCCACAGTCACATGATCGCCATTTGCGATCTTCCCAGCCAGCTTCCAATAAGCAAGATCAATGGGAGAAGCTGGATTCAATTAAGGGCCACATGATTCATTAAACACCTGCAGTGATCTGCTTAACAACAACAAAAAGATGTAAAATCGGGTGTGACTCACTTAACAACCTGCCTTGCTTAGCAACCGAAATTCTGGTCCAAATTGTGGTTGCAAGTCAAAGTCTTCCTCCAGTTATCATCAATATTTGGTGGGTAATTTCATTATTTAAAAAAATTCTGTTTATAAAAATAGCAAAGAGTTCATAATAGCTTGTGTGTTGTTGTTTTTTAAAATCTCCTTGTAGGTGATGAACATCCGCAAAGTCCTGAATAGAATTGAGAAACCTCATGGGCTTTATCCAAACTTTCTCAGTCCAGTCACAGGGAACTGGGTACAGCGTGAGTATTCAGACTCTCTTGGCTGAACCAAAGTGATGTTTATCAATGCATGTCTAGTGTGACTCCTGAATAAGGGAAAGATTAGTACCAAATTCTATGCTTTATTAATGCTGTGTCATGGTTCCGAAAGATGAAACTCTTCAAAGAACTTTGAGGCATTGTTTACCTTAAAGAATCTTTAATCGAGCAACATAGCTTGGGTAGGTACATAGTTGAAGCCAAAATCTGACTTTCCCTCCCTTCAGCACATAGATCAAAGCACAATTCCCTCCTATAATTAACAGTCATAAATCACATTCTCCAATTAGTTTGAAATGCTGGCTTCCCACCCAGTTTCCTCTCCCGCCATTCTTTATCAGCTCTTGTTACTATATTGTATGTCTAACTAATTCCCATCGGGCATTCCTCCCCCTCCCCCCAGCATCATCTAACTCTAAGAATAAAACAACCAAAAGAAAAAGGCTGCATCTCCATCGTTGTCAAAGCAAGAACATCCAATGTTAGCAGCGTTGACATGCTGATTGAGACATTCCTTATGCAAGCTGTCTCATACCAAGTCCTTTGAACAGGTGTGAGACGGCCATCGCTGCTGTCTTTTTTGCAAAGTATCTCTTAATACACAGGATGACAAAAAACCAACCAGAGGGATAGGCAAATGTCAACACATCTACAATATCCATCTTCCCATTAAGAGAGAGGGATTTTTTTCCCCCTTTTTGTTTGGGGAATTCGGAACTGCAGTTGCAAGCATGGATTAGAAATCCTATAGAGGAGTGGGCAGAAGGAACCTAGAAGGATAACAGCTGGGACTCCCAATCATGCAGTATCCAAACTGGTGGAGGTGGAAAAGGGAGATTTCCTATAGGAGCGCTTTCCTGTAAGTGAAGCAGAATGTCATTTTGAAAAAGAAAAGAACAGCTGGAGCTTGAGACCTAGCACAAATTTACACTTGAAACCACCAAAGGAAAACAGTAGAGCAGTGTTTCTCATCCTTGGGCAGCTTGAAGATGGATGGACTTCAACTCCCAGAATTCCCCAGCCAGCACAGCTTGGCGTAAGGAGATGCACAGGCCTTTAAGCAAGGAGGTTCAGCTTGTTTGGCATCCAACAAGACTTCTGAAAAGTCTGCGAGATTAAAGATTGAAAAATGTGCTTCCTCCGATACTGGAAATAATACAGGGCTCGTGAATAGCCTTTGCATTAGAGTTTTCAGTCAAGTTCTCAGAGAATTCCAGCTTATCAGAATTCAGAGGAGGACAACAAAGAGGATAGACTCGCAATGTTTCTCAACCTTGACCATTTTAAGGCATGTGGACTTAAGGCACAGCATTGCTGGCTGTGGAATTCTGGGAGTTGAAGTCCACATGCCTTAAAATGGTCAAGGTTGAGAAACACTGGGGTAGAGGAATGAATCCACAAGGATGGATCCTATGGCAGACTCACAACGTCGCGAGACGTATTGAAACTTTTTCCCTATTGCCAGCAATGGGGTGGGTGCGGTTTCCTCGTGACACGTCTGGCCTGCGGGCCGGCAGTTTGACACCCCTGTCCTATGAGGACAGACTGAAAGAACTTTGGCAGTTTCAGTCTGGAGGAAAGAAGATTTAGAAGAGACAGGGCTTTTATTATTTATTTGTTCTTCTTCTTGTTGTGCCATATCTGTTATCGGACGTTGGCGATCATGTTGGCAATCCTTTTTTTATCAGCAGCAGCACGAAAAAGTGCTGCTGAGTTTTGTCCCAACGTTTTGTTAACATTTATTTTATTACACCGAAGCGCAAAAATACATCGAAGCGCAAAAAAAGGAGCTACAAAAACAAAATACAGAAGCAAGCTGTAAACAAACAAAAAGGAAAAACAAAAGGCCTTAATGAGCAAAACCCAAAAAAATATGAACCATCTAGACATGCCGGTTGTATATCAAGAATTAAACAATGTAAGGAAATGTCAAATTCAGAGGGGAAAAAAAACCTCTTTTCTTGCAAAACATCATGAACCTGTGCCAAAGAGAAACATATGGCATCATTTCTGATAATTAGTGGGGGGAAAAAAGTATTTGCAAAAGTGAATAAATTACACCTGCTTTGAATCCAGCCATTAATGTCCAGAATAAGAGTGCTTTTCCAATTGCATCAAATAGCTTGCTTAGTACAGATAGTCCTCAACTTATGACCCCAACTGAGCCCAACATTTATGTTGCTCAGGGAGAAATTTGTTAAGTGAGTTTTGCCCCATTTTACGTCTGTTCTTGCCACAGTTCTTAGGCGAATTACTGCAGTTGTTAAATTAGTAACATGGTTGTTAAGTGAATCTGTCAGAAGGTTGCAAAAGATGATCACAAGATCCCAGGATACTACAACCATCATAAATGTGAGCTAGTTGTCAAGCATCCGAATGTAAATCTCGTGACCTTGGGGATGCTACAACCGTCATATGTGAAAAATGGTCATAAATCACTGTTTTCAGTACGGTTGTAACCTAATAAAACACTTCAAAGAACTTCCAGGCATGTCTATCCCAAAGCCTTTATTATCAGTGTTACCAATTGACGGCACATCATGGAGGTTTATGCCAGAATCTGAATTCCTCTTGCTGGCATCTAACTTTTCTTGCTAAACCCCTCCCTTATCTTGCAGTCACAAGTCACATCTTCCAATTAGCCCAGAGGGCAGAGATTCACTTCCGTTCCTTTTCCCGGGCTTTTGTTATTTCCTCTCCCTTTTCTCTGTCATCTGAATTAACTCTAAAAATACCAGATAGTTCTGCATATTTTGTCAAAGCAAGAAGATTCAATATTAGCAGCATTGACATCCAGCCCCCCTTACAAGAAGGACAGATCCAGTAATGTAAACAAAAGCATATGTTAATGACTAGTTTTTGGATTCAGAATTCAGAATCTGAATTCCTCTTGCTGACCGAACCACTGTAAGTTGAGGACTACCTGTAATTTCCGAGATAACCCAATTACGAGTAGACAGCTGTACTAACTAAAGTGAATTAAGAGAAGCTACAGGGAAAATGGGCGGGGATTTCTGAGATATCCTTGGTTATAGGACTGGGCATATCCAGGTTCACCTTAAGCTTTCCGTCAACCCATATACTATATTTACTATACAGTGGTACCTTGGTACTCATCATTAATTGATGCCAGGAGGCACAAGGAGTACCACTTTTTTTTTTCCCCATGAGGAATCATGTAATGAGCCCCAAGGCAGCTGACACTGACAAGTTCTAGCTTGTGCATTGAGTACCAAGCAAACAATGAGTACTGGGGGAAAATGTTCGTGTCAAAATGCGTGGAGTACCAAATTTGATGCGTTTCAAAACAGCTGAGAACCAAGGTACCACTATAATAGAATATGCAATCCAGTCAAGCTTTGTCGGCTTTCCTATATCATTATACAACAGTGGTTCTCAACCTTTCTAATGCCGCGACCCCATAATACAGTTCCCCATGTTGTGGTGACCCCCAACCACTTATACATCACTGGATGCCAGGGGCGTGGCCAAAGAAAAGGGGGAAAAATGGCGGACAGCCTTGTTTGGCGACCCCCGTGAAATGGTCGTTTGACCCCAAATGGGATCCCGACTCACAGGTTGAGAACCACTGTTATACAAGGTTTCCTAACTTTGTTGACTTTAATGCCTGTGGACATCAACACCCAGAATTCCCCAGCTAGCATGGCTGGCTGGGGAATTCTGGGTGTTGAAGTCCACATGTTTTAAAGTTGCCGAGATTGAGAAACCCTGCCTTACAGGCTTACACAAATCAGTCGCAAAGATACCAGCTAATCTGAAAACATGCTACAAACATGCTAACCTCTGTTTCAGCTGGAAACCCCACAGGGTAACAGTAGATGAGGGGATATACATTGGCATCCTGGGTTAGATGGCATAGAAAATAAATTTCCCCGGGTGCTTACTCTCTCTCTCTTGCTCTCTCATCGCTTTTTTTTTTTTCTGGGACGGGGGAAGATGACTCTGATGTCCTTGGATTCCCTGGAGCAGTGGTTCTCAACCTGTGGGTTGGGATCCCATTTGGGGTCGAACGACCATTTCACGGGGGTCGCCAAACAACACAGTCTGCCATTTTTTCCCCCTTTTCCTTAGCTGTGCTACTCTCTTTTATTCTATTGGCTTTTGAAAGCCAATAGAATAGACTCTCTTGAATAGAGTCTAATTCTATTGGCTTTCAAAAGCCAATAGGAATTGTCCAGGCTGTCTCTGCCCTGCTGAGCCCGCCAAAAGCCCCATTCTGCAAACGGTGCTGCACCAGTTGAGTAGTCCTCGACTTACGACCGGTTGAGTAGTCCTCGACTTACGACCGGTTGGGGGGTCGCGGCATTAAAAAGGTTGAGAACCACTGCCCTGGAGCATTGATGCTGAGATGTAAACATAAAATCCCCTCCTTCCCCCAGCATGCTATTCCCATTACAAATCTGTCTGGTTTATTTTTCCCCCAGGCAGATTTTCCCTAAGCAAGCAGCTTCTGCAGCAAGGCAGTCTGAAGCCATGGAAAAGCCCTCCATATTCTGGAGACATTTTCACACCTGGCATGATGTTTTCTCTTCCTCCCCTCCTTCAAGCTGCTCTTTCAAATGTCTCTAATATTCATTCCAGGCGTCGAATCACAGCTACAAAATGTAGATGAACTCTCCAGATGCTGCAAGTTCCATCTACACGGCGGGGCTGAGATTCTTGGCTTGCAAATTTCTGAACCGTGTCCCTTAGTGTTTCATGCTGTTTTGACACTTGACTCTCAGGTTCTCTTCCCTTATCCCTTCGCAAGGGAGGACGTGGCTGACAGAGAAAGACAATAATTGATAAGGCTGTATATTTATTTCCATTCAAAGGAAGTGAAAAATGGACTGGGAACAAAAACCCAGCTTCCTGAACAACTTTGTTTCTTTTTTTTGTTGTTGTTCATTTATAAACCAAGTTTCTAGCCCTCAAGGTGATTTTAAGAACCCAAAGGGATCGCGGAATTCTCAAACTGCAGGAAAAAAAAGTGTATTGTAGCACTTTATATTTTCAGTCCCAAACTTTAGCACTCCCACAGTGACAGTAACTTGCACCTCATAGTAGGAGATCTGGGCCCAGGTCTTAATTGGTCATTCGCTTTTTTTACTCAATTCAAGTGAAGTTGCTAGACAAAGATAGAGCTAAATTATTCAATCTTGACTCCTTTAAGAACACACGAGGGGGAGGCAGTTCTGTCTGATGGGTTTTTTTAATTATTATTTTGCTGTCCCTCTCTTTCCTTGACCCCTTTGAAGGAATTTGGGCATTAGAAAATACAAAGAAGCAGGCTAACTTTCAAGTTGTTTGTGCTCCTGTGCACATTTCTTACTACAGAGGCCGTTCTCCAGTTGGTTAAAACCAGTGCTTTTTTTCTAACAAAAAAAAAAAGGTGCCAGAACTCACACACGTCATACAACCTGCCTTGCCTACCCTACAAGGTTCCATCCAAAAATGGTGCCGGAACTCCGTTCTGGGCGTTCTATGAGGAGAAAAAAAGCCCTGGTTAAAACATGTATAAAAACAGTGTTTGATTTTTCTACTCACAAGTTGTCTTCTTCTTCCCATCACTGTAGATCACGTCTCTGTTGGTGGCCTTGGGGACAGTTTTTATGAGTATCTGATCAAATCTTGGCTCATGTCAGATAAGCAAGATAGCGAAGCGAAAAACATGTATGATAAAGCCCTCGAGGTAAGGCAGAGAATGAAGTATAATTCCTTTTGCGCTTGATCAGCAGCAAGTACTTTATGAGAAACCACACAGGGGATTGAGATGGATGGCCAAAATTCAGATCTTAACCTTCGCACAGAATCACTGGGCAGACACAGGTCACCCAATCATCCTTCTAACATTAGTTGGGTTTGGGCACCGTGATTCAGAAACAGGGTTTCTTCCAAATGGGATTCTCATTCCAGGTTTTCCATCTCTATGGACCCATTAGAACAGTGGTTCTCAACCTGTGGGTCGGGACCCCATTTGGGGTCGAACGACCATTTCACGGGGGTCGCCAGACAAGGCTGTCCACCATTTTTTCCCCCTTTTCTTTGGCCACGCCCCTGGCACCGGTGATGTATAAGTGGTTGGGGGTCACCACAACATGGGGAACTATATTATGGGGTCGCAGCATTAGAAAGGTTGAGAATCACTGCATTAGAAGAAAATTAAAAGCTTGTGGTTCCAGTTTCCAGCTCATTATTGAGTCCAAATCCTAAACAGTAGTTAGTTTTAACTGTGGGTTATTTATTTATTCAATTACTGTAGCCACCCATCTCAATCAATGACTCTGAGCTGCTTATAATTCCAAAAGTATAAAAACAACCAAAACAAAATAAATATATACAGCAGCCAAGATACGTAGCCAGTTATTATATTTATTTATTTGTTGATAACAAGCAGACTGCACAACACGTGAAATTTTAAAGAGTTTGTTTCATAATTAAGGTTAAGAATGGTTTGTTGGCTTCGTGAAACACGGCAAATTGCAGAATCAAAACCATTTCAAACCGCTTCTCCAGCTCTGGAGCTCTTTTGCTTCTCTTGTGAAACAGCCTGTTTCAAGGGCAAAGTCTGTGAAACATTTCAAGCATTTTTGTAAAAGGCTTTTGTTTGGAAAAGAAAAATATAAGAGATCTTTTGAGTTCCAACTTCTGCTAGGATGCTCTACTCAGGGTGTTTTGAATTCAGATAGAGAAATTGTATACACTGCTAAACAAAACTAGGCTTAAACAATGTGTGTCCAGTTTGTGGCCCACAGGCTGCATGTAGCCCTGGAAAGCTAATAATGTGGCCCCACAAGATCATAAACGTTTTAACGTTATTATGTGATTTGTATACATTAACTATATTATATATTTTATATGCATCCCAAGACAATTCCTGTTCACTCAATGTGGCCAGGGCAAGCCAGAAGATTAGCCAACCAAGGCTTAAAGATTCAGACTCTTCTTTATGAGCATGCTAGATAGGAAAATATGCAAGTCAGAATATCCCATATTCCTTCTTCATTGCCATAAAAGATGACTTAATCTGTTCTCCAAACCAGCTTTAACAGCAGTGAGAATGGTGCTAGTGTACTGTAGTTCTACAATTTCTGAACAGTTTATTTTGAACTGGAGAAAAGCCCAAGTGATCTGGATTTGGGGCTAGAGTATATAATATGGCCATCACAGAAACATCTGTCACTGAAGGAGTTCTGCATTTCTATTGTGTATTTTTTTTTTTAGTTCAGTTTTGGTTGAATCATGGACCTTTACAGGATGAGAAGAAAGGGCAAGGGATGTCTCAGTGCATGATTATCTCATCACACAAATGAGGCAATTATGTAAGCTGCGTCATCTCTTGTTCACGGACATCTTAAAGCAGGGGTGCCAAACTCAATTTGAGGAAAAAAGTGATAAAGTACAGTTCCCTTAGTGACTGTTCAAAGTTACAATGGCACTGAAAAAGTGCCCCCAAGCCACAGCCGAGCAAGACACCTGCCTGCCTGCCCAGTGTTCTTCCTCCTGTCTGAGGTTTTCATTGTTGTGAGCATTTTTATTGAGGATTGGCAGTGGCGGTGGAGTGGGGGGGGGTATTTGGTTTTTGTTCCTCCTGTCTGCTGGGTGGTTGCAGCAGGTTTTGGTCATTTCACATGACCCTGGGACACTGTGACTGTCATAAATATGAATCAGTTGCCAAGCATCTGAATGTAAATTGCAAGACCCTGGAGATGCTGCAACATTCCAGCTGATCGGCGCTTCTTCTGGACTCAGCAGAAGCACCAGTGCTGCTTTCCAGCTGATTGGTGCTTCTTCAGGGCTCAGCAGAAGCACCAGGATCAGCCGGAGCCTGGCACTGATCCTGGCACTTCCACTGATCCCTGACAGCCCCGAAGAAGCACCAATCAGCTGGAACCTGTCGCTGATCCTGGCGCTTGCGCTGAGCCCCGACAGCCCTGCAGCTCCAGCCATCTCTCGCTTAGGCTTGTGTGGTGCTGCCACCGGTTCAGCTCATTCCCCTCCCCCGCTACCACTTTTCTAGGATGGTCGCGTACCACCTGCCAGGTACCAATGTACCACAGGTGGTACCCGTACCAGTGGTTGAAAAGCCATGTGATATGATATCACACATACCAGAGTTTTCAGTCACAATTATGAATGTTAAGTGAGGACTACCTATACTTAAAAAACAGCAACTAGTCCAGTATAAGGCCACTTGTGTATTCATTGGTTCTTGCTACTGGAACCATATAACGCTGATCCTTCAAGCCCTATCTTGGTTGCTGATTGGTTTCTGGATTCAATTTATGGTGCTGGTATTGAGGTACAAAGCTCTTTGGTGCAGAGAGTAGATGGCCACCAAAATGGCCGTCTCCTTTTATATATGGGGTGAACCATTGGACCATTTGCATACATAGTGTTTGACACTGCTACCAGTGTATTCTTTATTATATTTATAAATCTGCCTCATCTTTCTTCATTCCACACAAATAACTCACTTTCTCTCTTTTTCCAAATGCTGTGAAATTTAGGCAATAGAAAAGCACCTGGTCAAAAAATCGCCTGGTGGGCTGACCTATATTGCCGAATGGCGAGGAGGCATCTTGGATCATAAAATGGGGCACCTGGCTTGCTTTTCTGGTGGCATGATAGGCCTTGGAGCAGAACACACCACAGAAGAACAGAAACAGCACTATTTGGATCTAGCTGGGGAAATAACGCACACTTGTCACGAATCTTACATTCGCTCAGGTAAAAATCAAAAATCCAAGCCCATCTTCGAAAAAGATTCTGTGCACTCTTGTTCACCAATTAATATCGTACATGGGTAACATCCATTAGTGAAGCCACACTTCCCAGTCCTCACTTCATCCTCAACTGTTGCTATTAGCAGTTTACTTCCAATTGCCCAGCTGAAGTCACAAATGAATATAACCCATTATTTGTTAGTCTCCATGTTCTGCCAGAGCAGGAAAGAACCTCCAGCTGAAAAAACTGCATTTGATCTAGTGTTGGGCACAAACAATCAAGACCACTCATGAATCACCTCAAGTAGAAGCTTTATTGTTAGTCACCCGTATTACAAGAATCTCACCTGACTGACTGTATTCCTTTGGGAATGGTCAGATAAAGCTTCATGGGCTGTGGGGGCAGCCAGTCCCATGCCACTTTCTGCTGGAGTGTAGCCCAGGCCTCTTCTTAACACTTCCTGGAGCTTCTATAACATCTAGATTCATTATATTTTCCCTCTTCTAATGTCTAAACTGAGGATCTGTCTACTTTTTTCAGTTTAGCTTGATAATGACGGTATTTGCTTCTCCAAGTCAGGCCCTCATAATGGAAATTTAGCAGGCACCTAAGGCTTAGAATCAATTCACTTTTTCACTGGCAAGAGATCTGAAAAATGTTTCTACCTCACAGTGAAAGTATTCGTAATATACTACTTGTTTAGTGAATTCACACATTCACCCCAAATTTTAACTAATCCTGCAGCTATCAAGGCATCTTCTGACCATTCTCTCTTTTGTGTGGCTAGATACCAACCTGGGCCCTGAAGCATTTCGTTTTGATTTTGGAGCGGAAGCAATGGCGACACGACTCAGTGATCGTTATTACATCCTGCGCCCTGAGGTTGTTGAGAGCTACTTCTACTTGTGGAGGTTGACACATGACCCCAAGTACAGGCAGTGGGGTTGGGAAGCTGTCCAAGTAAGTCTCTTTGACTAATGTCTAAATGTTGCTTTGAAAGTGTTGTCAGAGATCACATTTGATTCCATCTCAAGTTCCGCTGGGGCTCTGGTGTTAGACTGTGCTGAGTGCGTTAATTGGCCTTCATCTGATCCCGACATCCATGTTTTAGTAATGTACTTTGTCCCTATGACAATCTGTTTGGGATGCCCAAAAGAGGTGAAGAGTCATTTGGAGCTGGGCAATCCCCAAATCAAATCAATAAATAAACAGGATGGCTCAGAGCATCCTGTCCTTTATGCTGCAGTCCTGAATGGCGCCCTTCAGTTTGTGGCACATGGCAGCCACAACATCTGATCTCTTTATGGAGCCTAAGGGAACCCCTGCTGGATTTAACTAAAAGCTTCCCTAGGACAGGACCTTGGTTCCAGTAGCACTCTAGTAGATGATCTTTCATGGACTTCAACCTAAAATAAAATGAGGATTTGAGGACCCATAATGGCAGAAAATTTTCAGAAATCGGTTCTTATCTAAGATCCCCAGCATAACACAAGGAAGGAATCAAAACAAAGTTTCCTGTAGCCATCAAAGTGCCTAGGGTGACTTTGGGCTGGTTTCAATCTCAGCCTATCCTACTCCAAAATACGTGTTGTTGTGGGGAAATTTATGGCAGGAAGGCTCTCCTCTCTCTTTCTGAAACAAATTACTTTGGAAGTAAAGCTAGGGTGGGACAGCAAGCCAGGATACCCAGTTCCAATCCCCAGGCAACTGACGTAGCAGTCAAGGGAAAATGCAAAGAGGAGGAAGACTATGCAGGCCACCTGGACCAGTGCAGGATGGGCGGGCAAGGGTAGCTAGAAGCCCAGCTATCTGAGGGCTCATGAGGCTGAAGCAGAGCCACCATTGGTTCCTGATGCTGGAGGGGCCCCCACCTCAGTAGGCCGCTATCTAGTAGGGCAGTGATGGCAAACCTTTTAGAGACCGAGTGCCCAAACTGCAACCCAAATCCCACTTATATATCGTCAAGTGCCGGGTGGGCATGGTCCATTGGGTGGGTGTGGCCAACGGGTTGGGTGTGGGCCATTGAGTGGGCGTGGGCCATTGAGTGGGCATGGCTGCGGTGGTAGCGGCAGACTGGGTGGGACTAAAAAGTTCAATCAATCAATTCCAACTTTGCGAGACCTTTTTTTTCCTGGCGAGAAGTTGAAATTGATTAATTGATTGAACCTTTTTTTTTTTTTTTTGCACACGGCAGCAGAGGCCTAAAGCAAAAAGGTTTTATAAAACCCAGCTGAAGGCCTAGGACTGGGGCGACAGCGCACGTGCCACCAGGGAGGGCTTGGCGTGCCACAGGTTTGCCACCATGGTAGTAGGGTCACCATCACCACCTCCCTCCACCCATGATGATGAACGAGCACTGCTTTGCCATTCCTAGAACTAAGTTGACTTTCTTCTCTTCCTTGCTTTCCAAATCAGGCGCTGGAGAAATTTTGCCGAGTGGAAGCAGGATTCTCTGGGATCCGCGATGTGTATACGACCACCCCAAGCCATGACAACATGCAGCAGAGTTTTTTTCTGGCAGAGACGTTAAAGTAAGTCCCAAGCATTTTCAATATTTGACCATCGAAAAACTTTTAGAAAGGAAGATGTTTTTCACGAAGCAAGCAGTGGGGGAAATCACCGTCGCTGAACAGCACAGGAAAGACATCTTTAGGAGAAAACATACTTATTTATGGTGGTGTTGCATTCCCATGACAAAGTTCTGACAAATGGCCAAAAATACCACTGGTCTTGCTGAAACACAGCTCAGAAAGTTCTCCTGACTTGAGAATTCTCTCTCTTTTATATACAGCAATATATAGTAATAAAATTTACAATTGTCACAATAAAAGACTAATACAAACTTAAAAAAAAAAAAAAAGTAGAAGGCGCAGAAAAGAAGAGAAAAAAAAGAATATAGTAAAGAAAAAAAGAAATATATAAAGGAAATTACTTCCCCTCCCTTCACCACAAGTATAAACCATTTTAGTAACTTATCACTCTGTCTTTTAAAATATAGGTAGTCCTCCACTTACGACCAAAACCAGGACTGGATTTTTCCTTGTTAAGGAAAAAGATGCTTGTTAAGTGGCTCATGGCCAATTTTACAGTGTTTTTTTTTTTTTTTTTTTTTTGCCATGGTTGGTAAGTGAATCGTGTTGATAAGCAAATCCAGCTTCCCCCATGTGATTTTGTTTGTTGGAAGCCAGCTGAGAAAGTCACAATTGATAATCATGCGACTTCAGGATGCTGGAACCATCATAAATACACCCTAGTTGCCAAGCCCTTGAGTTTTAATCACGGGCCTGCTGGGACACTGTGATGGTTGCCCATGTGAGGACCACTCATACGTCAACTTTTTTTCTTTTCTTTTTTTTTTTTAACAAAATACAACAAACATTACACATATACACACGTAATATATCCTTTTTTGTTAACAGCAGTTTGTGACAGTACTCTTCTATTCTTTACATTTCCCCCCCTCTTTCTTCTTTGAAATATTTGTCCTTATTGCCCCATTGTTTCTTATTTACATTTTCCTTCTTTCATATTCTACTACTTATTAGGAATCCAACATTATTCATTGTAGTAACACTCATATTTTTTATAAGACTCGACCGGAATTCCATCTAAGCATGGTGATCATACAAATATTCTCATATTATTTAGTGCATATACTGTTTTTACTCTAATACTATTTCCAACATTAAAATTCACCCCTTTTCATCCAAGTATATTTATTTAATTTTATTTATAAAATTAAAAAAAATTATTATAAAATTAAAAAAAAGTCAACTTTTTGTCAGTGGCCTCATAACGTTGAACAGTTGTTATACGAATGGTCGTTAAGTTGCGGACTACCTGTACAACGAATGATGTCTTCTTCCCATATCCCATCCCTTATCTACAACCAAATCCTTAAAGCCTTGTCATTTCACTTCTGGTAGTCAGCACAGAGAGTTTTGAGTGCCAGACGTGGTTCTCCATTTGAAGTGGGCTGTTTCAAGCATTCTGAAAGCATTCAGAGGTTGAAACACAGACAGTTTGAAACAGGCCTGTTTCGGCCATTTGAACACTGAACAGTTCCCCTTGAAGATTTGGCACACCGCTGGTCCAGACTCTGTTGTCTGTCTAAGCCAGGGGTGAGGAACCATGGCCCTTTTATGGCTTTTGGACTTCAACTCCCAGAATTCCTGAGCCAGTCGTGCTGGAATTCTGGGAGTTGAAGTCCACGAGTCATAAAAGGGTCATTATTCCCCGCCCCTAGTCTAATGCAACCAACCAAGATAGCAAGCGCAGCGTAGGCTGTAAGCGAATGATATCCGACAGTCTCAACCAGCAAGCTTCTTTTGCTCTTCTCCTGGCTCTAGGTATCTCTATCTTCTGTTCTCTGAAGATGATGTGCTCTCCCTTCAAGACTGGGTGTTCAACACTGAAGCTCACCCATTGCCTGTGAATCACACAGACTTTGTCCTGAAGACCACCATGCAGTAGGAGCACCTCGGCCTTTCTGGGTTCTGCAAAGGGATCCCGAGGGGCTGTTTGCATTTTTTTCCTTTCTCCTTTCCAGTAAAGGAATGCACAGATTCCCGGAAAGGTATTTTGGGGGCATTCGTCCAAATTCCGGACAGTATTATATTGGGGAGTATAAAAACTGTGAAACAAGCACCTTCATGGGGTTTTTTTTTTCCTCTGTGAGGAAACTTATAACCTAATAATTGGATGTTGATTATGGGCCATAAGACAGAAAAAATCATGGACGTTTCTATGGAATCCACGGACTTTTCTATTGCGTGGCCAAAGGATCAGGAGTTTGCCATAAAATAGATGTCGGTTTTGTGCCACACTTTTTGCCCCAAACTTGCTCCATCCTTTTTCATATACTGTTGATTTTTTTTTCACCTTTCTGATCTATCCTTTAAAAAAAAAAAGCAGTACGCATCTTCAGTGGTCCTGATTAAAAAGTGTTTCTAAATCCCACCCTTTTCCTCACCTATTTTTCTGTTCTCTTCATCTATTTGCCAACTTCCTTTCTTTTTCTTTTTTCTTTGATTTCCTGGGTTTTGCTTGATCACTTTCCTTTGATTTTGGTTTTCCTTTTTCATCTGCAGCAAAACGTTATGAGGCATTTGTAATGATTTCTGTAATGCTCAGATGTGAAAAATAAAATAAAAATTCATGTCGGCTAAAAAAAGATGTGTGGCTGGGGGGCGCAGAAAGTTAGAAAGGAGGCAGCCAAGAGGCCATAGGGCCTTGGCAGATCTCCTGGTTTTTGGCTGCTGCAGCAGATGGAAACAGAAGGCTCCTACACTGCCTTAGAACAGCATATGCTTCAATACCCAAAGGGAGAAGACAGGATGGTGGACAAAAGCTGGAGAGGCTAAAGGATGGAATGGACCAACTGCATCTGCCTCTTGGAAACTGAGAATTTAATGGCCAAAAGGTGGGTGCCAAAGCAGACAGTTGTACAAGTGGGTGAAGCTGTGTCTGCCAAACAAGTTCTGCCTGTCTGTCTCACAAGAACTGTACTCAAGCTGCTTGTGCTTTGTGATCTCTGGGCAGTCGACACAACACTTTGTGCCTGTGATCCTGATGCCTGGAAGTTAAATCTCTCCCAACACTGTACCCTCCTCATGTTTCTGAGTACAGATAGTCCTCGACTTACATCCACAACTGGGCCCAAACTTTCTGTTGATAAGTGAAGACATTGTTAAGCGAGTTGCTAAGCATCCAAATTTTGATCACACAACCATGGGAATACTGAAATGCTTGTAAGTGTGAAAAAATGGTCATCGGTCACTTTTTTCAGTGCCGTTGTAACTTTGAATGGTCAGTAAGCAAATGATTGTTAAGTCGAGGACTATCTGTACACTACCAATCATGTATTTGTTTAATAAATTTATATGTTATCCATCTCACTATTCGAGGTGATTCTGGGCAGCTTACAGTACAATAAAAAATATAAAAACAATTTATCAACATAAAAACAATTTAAGGTTACGAAAGTTAGAGACTAAAACCTGGGAACTTGAGTGGTGTGGAAATGGTGTCTCCCCTTACTCACCTTGAACAACGTCCCCTACTAACGTGGATACCAGTCAATGAAGATGGTGGTTAAAGTCAAAATCTTTAGCAAGCATCAGGATGGGGAGGGTATGTTAGAAGTTGGTTGTGTGTATTCGTTGCACCTCCTTAAGCTTTTCTTTTTCACAGATTTAACTGCACTTTGGGGGACTGGAGGCTAAAACATACAAGGAACAGTTGCTGGAATTGGGTATGTCTAGTTTAATGAAGAGAAGGACGGGGGGGGGGGACATGGTAGCAGTCTTCCAGTATCTCAGGGGCTGCCCCAAAGAAGAAGGAGTCAAGCTATTCTCCAAAGCGCCTGAAGGCAGGACAAGAAGCAAGGATGGAAACTAATCAAGGAGAGAAGCAACCTAGAACTAAGGAGAAACTTCCTGACAGTCAGAACAATTAACCAGTGGAACAACCTGCCTCCAGAAGCGGTGAATGCTCCAACACTGGAAGTCTTTAAGAAGAGACTGGACAGCCATTTGTCTGAAATGGTATAGGGCAGGCAACCTTGGCTCTTTTATGACTCGTGGACTTCAACTCCCAGAATTCCTGAGCCAGCATGGCTTTCTTTTTAGATTTAAAGAAGGAAGAAAAGCACTTAGAGCAAGATGCAAAACAGATGTTTCCTGTTGAATTTGCACCTCTTGAAGCCAAGGGGGTTGGGGAAAAGTCATACTGTCTAGTGGACCATTGGCGATTTCCGCCTAGGGGGATAATTGCTCCTAAATAACTGCCTTGGGAACATCTCATTAGATTGCAAGGTATTCCTAGCAGGAAAATAACCATTTGCCAAAATATTTTTTTAAATAGACCACTTACAGAATCAAAGACCCTTTTGACATGAATCAAAGGGTATCGTTCCAGCTCCTTTTGGAATTTCCATTGAATTTTGAAATACAGTGAAGCAGCATTATTTGTTACCTGTCCTACATTCAAATTGCACAGAATGCATCTAAAAGACCTTGCCTCTCCTACTGCTTACATTTGGAGTACAGTATTCAAAGTTGTTCTTAAAGATGGAGGAAATAATTTTTTTTCTGTTGGAAGATGTATGTCTTCCCTATCCTGTATGTAATAATTTGCTGCCTAAGTGTTATCTGACTCCAGCAGGGGTTAAACTAGGGCCAAACATGATTCAGGGCATACAGGTAATCCTCACCACAATCGAGACCAGAACTTACAATGCCAGTGATGCAGTCATTAAGTGAGTCATGCCCAATTTTATGACTCTTTTGCCACATTAAGCAAACCCAGCTTTTCCTATTGAGTTTGATTGTCGGAAGCCCCCTGGGAAAGTCGCAGATGGTGGCCACATAACCCCCGGGACACCGGAACTATTGTAAATACATGCAGGTTACCAAGTGCCCAAATTCTGATGATGTGACCACAGGGATGCTGTGATGGTTATAAGTGTGAGGACCGGTCATAAGTCACTTTTTTCAGCACCACTATAACTTCAAACAGACTTTAAACAGTCTTTAAATGGTCATAACTTTAAGGCCACTTTAGCTGACTGTGTTCAGCAGGTCAGCGGTTCAAATCTCACCGGCTCAAGGTTGACTCAGCCTTCCATCCTTCCGAGGTAGGTAAAATGAGGACCCAGATTGTTGGGGGCAATGTAAAATATATATATATACATTGCTTACTGGTGTACACCGCTTAGAGAGTGCTTGCACTTAAAGCGGTATATAAGTCTCATAAATAAATAAATGACCATTTAATTGTTATCATATTCTCTTTTCCCTGCTCTATCCAAAGCAAGTATCTCCCAAGGAAAGACATCAAAAATATAGTACTCTTTTCAGAATTCAAACTAAGATGCATTAACGGAAATTGGAATGAACAGTACAGTTCAACAGATATAGCAACTTTGAACTTGATAATGAACTTGAAAATTGCCAGAGGTAATTTTTTTTTTACTTCATTTAATCTAAGAATGACAGAATCAAAGTTGAGCCATTATTACATTTGGCAGCTAGAAATTGCAGACAATTTCCAAGGACCTTAGCTATGCTTGAAAAAGCTAAATGGGGTTAGAGATTACTTGGTTAGGAAAGCTCCAGAAAATCCTAGGGCATCGGGTTAGGCTAGTAAATCAATAGTAATCATCATCACCATCTTGGAAAAAAAACTCTGGCAAATCACTTGAAGATATTGCCAAGAAAACTATCAGTGTTTCTCAACCTTGACAATTTTAAGGCATGTGGACTTCAACTCCCAGAATTCCACAGCCAGCATTGCTGGCTGTGGAATTCTGGGAGTTGAAGTCCACATGCCTTAAAATTGTCAAGGTTGAGAAACACTGAACTACATGGTTTTACTTATGTAATCATCAGGAGCCATATAGAACTTGGAGAAGACTTGAACTTTTATTTTGAAATAGTTTTGCTCTATTCTTTCTGAACCAAGAAGACGTCACAAAATTCAGTGAAGTGAAATCTGAGAGGTAAAGTGCACTCCCTCCTATATATACATACACTACATCTCTGGCTTATGCAGATCAGCTCAGTTTGCTTGGATCTTCTTTGAAATCCAAAGAAATCTTTACATGCACTCCTTTTCTACTTTCTACTTTACTTTCTATAGCAGTGGTTCTCAACCTGTGGGTCGGGACCCCATTTGGGGTCGAACGACCATTTCACGGGGGTCGCCAAACAAGGCTGTCCGCCATTTTTTCCCCCTTTTCTTTGGCCACGCCCCTGGCACCCGGTGATGTATAAGTGGTTGGGGGTCACCACAACATGGGGAACTGTATTATGGGGTCGCGGCATTAGAAAGGTTGAGAACCACTGTTCTACAGTAAAGGGAGAGAAAAAAATGAGAACAGATGGGAAGAAATGAAAGAAATAGCAACTGACTTATGTTCTACCGCAGTGGTTCTCAACCTTTCTAATGCCGCGACCCCATAATACAGTTCCCCATGTTGTGGTGACCCCCAACCACTTATACATCACTGGGTGCCAGGGGCGTGGCCAAAGAAAAGGGGGGGAAAAACGGCGGACAGCCTTGTTTGGCGACCCCCATGAAATGGTCGTTCGACCCCAAATGGGGTCGCGACCCACAGGTTGAGAACCACCGTTCTACCGTATTACGAGAGTTGAAAGTATATGATTATTCTCTGGTTTTTAATATGGCAGATTTGTGAGTGGTGAAATTTTGTGACTAAAAAGTATGAAGAATGGTTGCAGGGTTTGGGAATGGCCAGTCTGGAGGAAAGAAGGACTAAGGGGGACATGATAGCAGTATTCCAGTATTTGAGGGGCTGTCACAAAGAGGAGAGGTCCATTTATTTTCTAAAGCACGCAGAGGGCAGGACAAGAAACAATGGATGGAAACTAATCAAGGAGAGAAACAACCTGGAATTAAGGAGAAACTTCCTAACAAGGAGGACAATTAACCAGTGGAACAGCTTTGCCTTCAGACATTGTGGGTGCTTCATCACTGGAGGTTTTTAAGAAGCGACTGGACAATCACTTATCTGAAATGGTATAGGACAGTGGTTCTCAACCTTTTTAATGCCGCAACCCCAACCGGTCGTAAGTCGAGGACTACCCAACTGGTTGTAAGTCAAGGACTTTCCCTGCCCGGGAGCGCCGCGCATGCGTGGTGCCGCCCCCTGCACTGGCCAAGGCATAGCTGGCAAGGGGCAGCGACGGCGCAGGGCGACCACCGGCTGGGCCACCAGCTGGCCCAGCCCAAGGGAGGTAAGGCACCCGCCAGGCCCCACGTGTGCCAGCAACCCTCCCTGTGCCCGCCGGCCTCCCACCTCTCACCCCTGGGCCTCTTTTATTTCCATTTTTAGTAGTTGCTCAGCAGGGAAGGGTGGAAACTTCCAGACAGCTCGCCTTCGCTGCAGACAACTTGCAGCACCGTTTGCAGAATGGGACTTTGGGCGGGCTCAGCAGGGCAGAGACAGCCTGGACAATTCCTATTGGTTTTTGAAAGCCAATAGAATTAGACTCTATTCAAGGGAGTCTATTCTATTGGCTTTCAAAAGCCAATAGAATAAAAGGGAGTAGCACAGCTAAGGAAAAGGGGGGAAAAATGGCGGATTGCGTTGTTTGGCGACCCCCGTGAAATGGTCGTTCGACCCCAAATGGGGTCCCGACCCACAGGTTG